TATAAATTTGATAAGGTATAAAGACTTTGTTATGACCGAAGACAGCTTATCACATATAGCGTTACTAATATTTAAATTAAATTATAGTCTGAGTTCTAAAGCAATTTAAATAACTCAAAATAATGGCTCTTAAGCACAAAATTTACTCAACACCAATCATTCTAATAATAAATAACTCGCTCTAAACTCAAAAAGTATATCTTTGCAAATATAACCACAACTTGATCGAAGACATTCATATGTGCATATGTATTCATATTATACCTCCTCTATGCACCTTGTACTCCAACCAAAAATTAAGCAGCCAATTTTTCAACACAATTCCCACTTCGTTTTCACGCCACGCATTTAGCACCTCATTTTCACCGCCTATCAGCAGTGAACTCCTACCAATTAGTGGGCTGCCTTTGTTCAACCATAGACCTGCCCCACTCCCACCGCCGACTACTCTGTTGTACACCAAACAAATTTATTTCTTAATTTCATGCATTTCGGTGCATATACACATATTTGTTTGTATGCCCATGTATGAATATATATATAGATATACATATATATATATATATATATCACACCGGTTGAGTGGTTCGAACAGCGGTGAGTGAATGCAATTAGTGACATTGTGCCACTTGTGGCTGATTGGCAAGTCGTAAAACTCCAAAAACGTTTATTGAAATCCAAGCCAATGAGCCATATAAATAATACATATGTAGCATAGTGTAAATATGTATTCATATGTAAGTGTATATATGTAAATCTCTATATCATATTCAACTAAACTGCTAAATAACACTTGAAACCCTTCTTCAGCTTAATTAGTTGTTGGTTTCGCAAGAAAAGTACAATAGCAACAACAACAAAAACAAAAAACAAAAAAATTATAATCACTCAGAAGCAAAGTTTATAGTTTTATTTTATTGAAAACTTCCGCAGTAGCGCCAATAACAACAATTACAACAACAATGCAAAGGGTGAAAACGAAACGCTTAAGCCGCTTGCGTCCTCAACTTAATTGCTTAGCAACATTTGTTGCTCAACATTTATAGCAATGATTAGAAGCGGTCATAAAATGAGTGATCATATGTCTTATGTACAAGTAGAATGCAAATAAAAATAAATTATAATTTGTACATGCACACATACATACCAACATATGTATGTATGTAAATTTTATATATTATATAAAGACATGTTCGTGTCGGGTAAGTTTATGTCTTGGCATTGAAAATCAATTCTGCTCATATCTTGCCCAACGCTGCTTGCTGCTCTTCAACATGAGCTCGAGACGAAATTGTTGTTGCTTTTCGCAGCAGCTTTAATTGATTGTTATTGTCAGTATTCGCAGCTTTTGAGAATAATTTTTATTGTTTTTAGTTTGACATATGCACATACATACGCATACACGTATATATGTATATACATACATGTGTATACACATAACAGCACGCAATATTGTTTTCCAAAATTGTAACGAAATACATAAGACAAATACAATTGGCACACATACAAACACAATTGCACGAACTTTTCTGTTTTCGACTGTGGGTGCTCTTGTTTTATTTATTTATGTACGTTTGTATTGTTTTTTTCTTCTTCTTTTTTGTTCTAAAAATTGGTTTCTTGATCTTGTTTGCCGTCATTCTTGTTGTATCTCATATTCTCTACACCGTTCATTAATATAACATACACACGCACATATGTATATTGTACAATATAACTTTGTACGTTTCATTGCCTACTGTCAGTCAGTTAAGTCAGTTTGTATTACGTCAGCAATTTTTTTGTTTTGCTTCTGCAGAAAACGACAATTCGCCAGGTCGACTAGATAAACTGGAAATTGAAATAAAAATTTCAACTTTGCGTGGATTTTTTCTGCTCGATCTCATTGTCTTTTCAGTGTTATTTGCTTTACGTTTGATTTATAATTCTGTATTGTATTAAGCACATGCTGAGTATATTTTTCTTTCGTTTTTGGCTAAAATCATTAAATGCGTCAAGGTTGAATTTGCGACATTTTAGCGCCGTTGTAAAGTAAGCCTTTATTTATGGGATTTTGTGTAGGTTGTTTTGCTTCATATTTTTGACTTCTCTAATTTGAATTGTTGTTGAAACTGTTGACAGTCAATATTATCTGCAATTTTCAAAATTGATGCAAGCTGGAGCAAAATTCATTAATAATGAAAAAATCCAATAAGAAAACATAAAAGATGAAATGAAATTAAAAATTCAAATAAAAAAAATATCAAATAAAGTTAAGTAAAATTGAATAAACAAATTAATTAACTAAAAAACCAAAATGAAATGACAATAAAATGAAGAAAAAATAAAATCAAATTAAATAAAAAAAATTACAATAATATTAAATTAAAGAAATAATTAAATTAAAGAAAAAAAAATAAAATAAAATAATTTAAATTAAATTAAATTAAATAAAGTATGAAATAATTTTAATTTAAAAAAAAAATAATTAAATAAAAGTAAAGTAAATGAAATAATTTAAATTAAATTAAACATAAATAATTTTGAAAAATGTATAAAAATAGCGTAACAATAAAAGCGTAATGAAATAAAAATAAATTAAACAAATTAAATCACGTTAAATACAATTTGATTGAACAAAAATTTCAATAAAGGAAAATGATGTTAAATAAAACAAAGTAAAATTACAAAAATAAAAAAAAAAACAAATTAATTAACTAAAAAAAAACAAATGTGAAATGACAAGCAAAAAAATAAAATCAAATTAAATAAAAAAATTACAATAATATTATATTAAAGAAATAATTAAATAAAAGTAAAGAAAATAAAATGAATTAAATTTAATTAAATCAAATTAAATTAAATAAGAAATGGGAAAAATTCAATAATATTAATTTAAAGAAATAATTAAATAAAAGTAAAGAAAACAAAATAAATTAAATTCAATTAAATAAAAAATAAATTAAATAAAAAATACATAAAAAATAGCGTAACAATAAAAGCGTAATGAAATAAAATTAAATTAAACAAATTAAATCACGTTAAATAAAATTTAATTGAACCAAAAAATAATGCAATAAAGGAAAATAATATAAAATAAATTATAATTTAATTATTTAAAAAAAAAATTAAATTAAATTCATTATCAGGTGTACAACTTTACTTCCGCCGTTTTTTTCCAAAATTAAAAGCTTTATTGCGAAAAAGTGCTTACAGATATATTATTCAAAGTATTGTCCTTCGCTAGCGACAACTTTCTCCCATCATTTCGGCAATTTTCGGATCCCGGCTCGAAAAAAGGAGTCCTCCTTTGACGCTATCCATGAAGCAATTCATTTTTCCAATTCTTCGAAGGATTGAAAATGTTGATCTGCCAGGCCATGTGTCATCGAACGGAATAGGTGGAAGTCAAAAGGGGCGACATCTGGGGAATACGGCGGGTGGGGCAAGACTTCCTATTTCAGCGTTTTCAGGTACTTTTTGACCACTTTTGCTCGATGTCCCTCGGTTTCAACTCGTACGGCACCCAGTTTCCTTCTTTCTGAATCATGCCCAGGGCCTTGAGACGTTTTTGAAATGGCTTGCTGACTCACTCTCAACGATTCGGCAAGCTGTGCTTCTAGTTGCTCATCTTTGAAAGTTTTTTCTCTACCACCACCATGTTTGTTTTCGACATCGAAATCACCATTTTTAAAACGTTGAAATCACTCCCGACACGTTCTTTCACTCATAGCAGCATCACCGTAAGTTTCTGAGAGCATTCAATGCGCTTCAGCTGCTTTTTTTTCGAATTCTAACAGAAAAGTAAAATCTCCCGCAAATGGCGAGAATTAGGCACATAAATGGACATTTTCGAGCGTGAATAATACGAAATATGCACAATTTCCCTCGATTACTTTTAACCTTTTTAAAGATAATATCGTAATGCCTCTCCTGTAGAAACCATATTCCCTATTAGGACAATTGATTTTCACAGGCTTCAGAAACAAATAGTAATCCCTTGGAAGTCTCCACTATAAGGTGGATGGAGAAGAATCAAATAAGCTTTCGGAGCTTCTCTATCGATGTGTGTAAACCGGCGTTGGCCTGATGAAACACAATTCTCCTCTTGTTGGCAAAAGCTGGGCGCTTTGTGGCGATTGCTTCCCTTCGTCGCTCCAAATTACGGTCGCAGATGAAAATTTGGTTTTCTTTGCTGGTGCCAAGACTTTAACCGTTATCCGGTGAAATCCAATTGTACTTATAGAGCGCGATACGCAGATCACAAAGGTTATCTATTGCCTATATAATAGACTGTTTTTTACTAGAAAAATAATATAAAAATAAATAACGGTATATATATATATATGGTTTATTAAATGATCTGATGAAGCATTAAGAAAATACCAATAATAATCCCAGCAAAAAGATACCTGTATATTAAGTGTCCAGTAAATCGACCCAAAATGCCAATTTTGCATAGGCTGGTTTCTGATTCACTTTCCGCACTCATTTTCATATACTTCTTGTTCAGCAGGTTCAGGCTTTCTTTAGTTATTAGCGTGGTAACTAACATCATTTTTATATACATACATACATATAAAGAGTTAAATTTTAAGTTTTTTTAAAGATCCAGAGGCGGCTTATACAAAACTCCCCATAATCCCCTTTGTTGGTAAAACATTAAAGAGCATACCACAGGTTAAAGACAATATATAAATAAAAAATGTGTAATATATAATATGTACTTAATAAAATATCAAATAAAATAAAAAATTATTTAGAAAAATTAAAAAAAAAATTATTTTGGTTAAATGAGTGATTTATTTAGTTTCAAACACACACAGGTCCGGAAAAATATAAAAATAAATACATAACGCTCACACACTTTGGCCCAATAGAAAAAAGTGACATAAAAAAGAAAAAGAAAGTTTAACAATAATATTTCAAAAAGTTCAACAAGTGTTAAGGTTTAGAAAATTTCAAAACAAAGTTAAAAGCAAAAATTTCTTATTAATTTCATCTTCCAATTTTCCCCACAGTGCAGCTTTCCCAACGACATTTCATTTGATATCCTCAAATCGACGCTAATGACACCAAATCAAAATATTTAATTTGAAAATCTCCCTTCAATTAACAACAAAAAACACCTAAATTTTTAAAAGTGTTAGAAAAAAAATTCAACAAAAATTAAAATAAAGCAACAACACAAAAATACAACTGCCAACAAAATGCAACTAAGTACAACGAAGCCGCGACAGAGAGAGCGGCACTTGCCGCCAGCGTCCAACACACCTAAGCACACGCAAGCAACCTCCGACAGCGCCTACGCATTCAGCAGCGGCATCAACACAAATTACTACTACAGTAGACTGCCGTTGCTGCTGCTGCTGGTGCTACTATGGGCGTCCGCCAGTCATGCCTACAACATTGATCTGCCCAGCTATACAAGGCACGTGCGTGAACCGAATACAATGTTCGGCTTTAGCATTGCATTGCATAAGGGCTACAGTGGATATGCACAAACGAACTCGTAAGTATCAAAATCTGAATGAATAAATGAATGAACGAATGAATGAATGAAGTGCGGAAGTGTGGCGCAGACAAAAAATCAGAAAAAAATTTTTTTTTTTAAAATGCAAGATATTGAAATTAAGTGAATATATTACAGATGCATGAAAATTCATATTTTTTCAGTTAGCGGCAGCTTCTGCAGCACGAGCGAATGCATTTTTTTATCGCCCATAACTCATTTGTGTAGTGAAGGCAGCGGATTTTTGTATTATTTAACTCACAGTCGATGGAGTAACTGTGAAATATGCCATATTTATGATATTCATTTCGATTTTTATGTGCACTCATTTGAGTTTTATTTGAGTTGACAAAATGTGATCTTTTGTGTTTATGCAATATTTTGCTTTTCGTGACATAATTTTTGACGACAACAAAGGATTTGTGTTTATAAAATGCATTTTTATGATAGAAAAAAATTATAAGATAATTTTTTGTGATTTTGTGCGATTTTGAGCTTTATAGAATTTATTAATTTTTGAGTTTAATAAATGAGATACTTATAAAGAGTTTCAAAATTTTTTTGCTCATCATTTAGGTCTTTTTTTGGAAAACATCTGAAATTCGTTAAGTAACCAAACAAAAACTTATTATTCACACAAATGTAGTACATCTCCCGACATTAGCTTTGAACACATTTGCCCCTATGCAGTTCTCTGCCGGAATTTCTTTTTTTATGTCGTCTACCGACTGATGATGGATGCCTCAAAATTGAAAAAGAAAAAATCGCCTAGCACCACATCAGATAAATATGGTTGTATATGGTCAGAAATTGTAGAATTTCGGTCCAGAAATTCAGTCGCTACCATAGCCTTGTGAGATGCTACGTTTCAACAAATCTAGTCTTTTTCTTAGACGAGTTTGCTCTTTTTAAAACGCCTCATAGTCTTCCTAAAATATTATTTATTTACCAACTAACTTTTTGCCCGAAGGGTTGGTACTAAAATTCGGAAGACCAGGGTTCAGAACCTGGTCCGCAAAACTCTCAAATTTATGGAAAAATTATTTTCACTGATGATGGTTCGCTCTCTGACAGGGTATGTTAAGACGTTTGATTGTATTTCTGACATGGAAGAGGCCTAAAATTCATTTTTAGAAATGTTAATTGGGATGCTAAGAGCCTGCAGTGTACTCTCTTAATGCCAAGTCCCTGATATCTTCAATTTCAAATTCTTATTTTGTTTCTACAATAGCAATAATCCTTTCTAAAAACAATAACGAATCATTTAAGCCAACGAGAAAACAATACAAACATATCTACATGTAGATTATCTTAAAAAGCCGTCTTCACTTCTCACATTTTACAGATAAAACCGACACACTTGCATACATACGTGTACTCACACACAGACACATGTTTGTTTCGATAGATAGAGGTCCAGAGGAACGGAGAGGTGATAACCTTTTGGGCTGTATCATATCACAAACGCCTCGCCGCCTCTAGAGAATAATCTCACAGTAATGCTATCATTATAAATATGTGTGTACGTGTGTATGCATTTAGTTTGAGTGTGATAAGCTCAGCTCGATGTTGATGATGTTTGCACTACAAGCTATTCAATGGAATAATGCAGTTGAAGATTAGCGCATCCATGCAGTCATACATACATACTCGCACATATATAGAGATATGTATGTATACGCGCATTCATGTGGGTAATTTTAAAGATAGTGCATTCGAGAAGAAGAGACATTTAAATGCCTTGTAAATTTACTATTTTTAATGTCAACAAAGCCTAAGTCTGTGCGATCGAAGCGCCTTGCCGGTTGTAAGTGTGTACATATGTACATATGTGTATATACAAATGTATACGTTTGTTGCACATCAACACAATCGTCGTTGATTATTTGTAATGTTGAAAGAGAAAGGCACAAAACAAAAAATTAAATAAATAGAAGTCAATTTTTATACTACTTCATCTGTGTGAGTGTGTCGCAGCCAAATTGGTTTAAATTTGCGATTTATTGCAGTTTTATGAGCAGCAACGCCACATTTTGTATTTATGCATCGTTTGTAAAGTGTCAACATTGATTTAAATTTTTTTAACCAATTTTTTATTATTATTTTTCATTCTTTTTATTTCTTTCATCACACTTCACTTGCAGTTGAAGAGATTCTTTCGTGCATTTAAGTAGTCTTGATGGGAAAATTTACGATTTGGGGCAGTAACGCCACTTTGTAGGCCTCTGTTTGACCTTCGCTCGTATTCTACTTACGAATAGCTTCGGCAGTGCATGTGATCAGTTTGATGTGGAAACAGTGATTTATGAGTTTTAGAATTGAACTTTGCTTATGAATGAAATTGTTGATTGAAGGTGGAAGTTTTCTTCAATTAGTTCGGGTAAGCCTCAATTCTGGACAAAACAAGTGGTTTAATTTTATGAAAAACAAACATACGAGTATATAAAATTAAGTAAAGAATAATAACTAAAAAAAAAAATAAAAATAAAATGAAATAAAGTAAAATTAGATTAAATAAAATAAATAAGTAAATAAAATAAAAAAATAAAAAAATTAAATAAATTAAAGTAAAATAAAATAAAATAAAATAAAATAAAATAAAATAAAATAAAATAAAATAAATAAAATCAAATAAAATAAAGATAATAATTCATTATAACAATTGAAAACTTATAAAATTAATTAAAGCAAAATAGAATAAAATAAAAATTATTTGAAAAATAAATAAATAAGAAAACATAATGAATTAGGTTTCCGAATAACCGTATGACACGTATAATTAAAGACCAGGTAAACTCTTCAAAAGTTTTAAGTATGCTTTTCATTTAGAGCCAGCTGTTCACTCCATTTAGGAGCTGACAATTTAAATATATACTAATCAGAATTTATGTAAATTTTTTCCAAACTGAAAATAAATTTTAAATGAAATTTTAAAGTTATATATACATATTGTTAGACAATTAATTTAGTCTTACTATCGTAAAAATAAATTCTCCATAATTTAATGCAGAAATAATTCCCTCAGAACAATGCCCCAAATTTTTGGGTATAAAAATATTTTTTCCATATTCCTCAATCAACACATAATACATTTACATATGTCTGCACAAAGATTTGAAAACAAAAAACGAAAAAAATTCTCTGTTAAATGCAAACAAAAAGCTTTTAACTGCATATTTTCCCTTTGCGAAGAGTAAATAAATTCCATGATATTTTTCTGCATACATACTCACGCACATACAGTTCATATTTTCTTGGCTGCACCAAAAGCGGTGAGTGCATTTTACCCACTAAATAAAAGCAATTTGCAGCTTGTGGCATGTAGCTTGTTGAAAAAACAACAATAATAACGGTGTAATAAGTAAACAAAATGTGGGCAAAAACAAAAGCAGAGTAAAAAGCGCATTTTCTTATTGTATTTTCCACCATTAGGGCCAAAAAGTGTATAGCTAATTTGTTTACATTAGCTTTGGTGGGGAAGCTGCAAGCATACCAATGAACTTACATTGTTGCATCGCAGGCTGCTGAGAGTGTGTGAATGAGTGTGCTCGTATATAGGGTAATAAAGCTGAAAATAGTTGCAACAACGCACGATGAGGTGCTACTTACAACGTTGATAGTGTTGGGGGGAGGAAAGAGTTGAAAGTTGGAAAATTGAAAGAATTCTTTCGTGTGGAATCAAGAGAGTGCATATTGATATTACTTGACTAAAAATATCTATATACATATATACATGTAAATATATATAAGTAAACTACCGGAAATATTCGCACATTCCAATTCTCTCACTTACAATGAAATTTATCGGCTGCTGACTAGCGAAGGAGATAACGGTGAATATGCTGCTATTCACTTATACATGTTTTTATATTTACTACATACCAAAAAGGAACTCGGAATACTGCTGATTAAATTAACTTCATATATGAATACATATAAAGATAGTCCGCAGCATCGTCAAACATTTATCTCTTCAACTCACTAAAATGATTTAATTGTTTTGCTGAAGTGCTATCTTTTTAGTGCGGCACTTTATGTTTTGACGCATTATAATTTAAGTTATTTGCTTGACAACAGTGACAAAGAGCCCACACAAAAAGGCATGGCTATCCAGAGCGCACTCAAACAGACGTTGTACAAACAAATATTTGTTAATCAAGTGTAAACACTAGGGTGGAAAGAAATCAAATACCTTTTCTACCAAATAGCCAAAAATTGAGAATAAAATTTTTTAAAGTGATAAGCTTTTAATAACAAATAAAAAAATGCAAAATAACTCAAATAAAATAAAATAAATTAAACGGATTAATATAAACGAAATAAGACATGACTGGAAATTAAAAACCTTAAAAGAAAAAATTATATATAACAAAAATAAGATAAAAAAACTTATTAAAAGTTAAAATTAAATGAAAAGGAAAAATTAAATAAAATAAAAAACGAAAACAAAAAATAAAATAAGATCAAATAAATTAAAATTAAACGAAAAAGAATGCAGTAAAATAAAAAATGAAAGCAATTAATAAATAATAAAACAAAAAATAAAAAGAGAAATAAAAAAATAATATGAAGTAAAATAAAATAAAATAAACGCAAATAATATCAAATAAAAAATAAATAAAAAAGGAATAATATAAAATAAAATATATATAAAATAAATTAATTTAAAAAAAAAATTGAATATATAAAATAAAAATAAAAAAAAAATAAATGAATTAAAACAAAATAAAATAAACGGAATAAGATAAAATAAACTAAAACATTGTAAAACAAAATAAAAAATAATATAAAGTAAAATTAAGTAAGACCAAATAAAAAAAATAAAATAAAATGGAATAAAAAAAGCAGAATGAAATAAAATAAAAAAAGCAATTTAATATACAACAAAAAATAAAAAGCAAATTTAAAACAATAATAGGAAGAAGAATGAAATAAAACAAAATAATATTAAAAATTAAATAAGTTGAAATGGAATATATTAATAGAAAGTAAAATGAAAAAATAGAATATTAGAAATATATAAATAAAATAATATGAAATAAAATAAAATAAAATTAAAAAAATGTTAAAAAAAAAATTTTTCAAAAAATTAAAAAAAATTAAAAAAAAATACAAAAAAAAAAATCAAAAAATAAAAAAATAAAAAATAATAAAACAAAAAATAAAATAAGATAAAATGAAAAATGAACTTACAAAATTTCTCAAACAATAGAAAAAATGATATTCTTGAGTAGGAAATGAATACTATTTATACGCGTCTTCATAGCTGTCGAATCATTTGATAAAAAAAATATCCTACCATAACAAAACAATTTCGCTCACTTTGTGCTGCTGCTTTCTTTTAGCGCAGCAAATATTGCAAAAATATGCAGCTCGTGGCTACTGCGAACTTTTGGCATCAAAAACAATTGCAACACAATATTTAGTACTAAAAAGAGTTAAACAGGCTGAGAAAGCAGTAGATATACCAAAAACAAAAACAAGTTAACAACAATAATAGAAAAACAGCTACTTTTAAGGTTAAACAGTTCAGCTCAATACAGTTCAGTTTAGCTCGTAGTTCAGTGCACATTCAGTCGGGCTGAGTTCAGTGAGAATGCAGTTATATGATTCAAGCGAATTTGGGGCATACGTTTGTATGTATGTACATATAAGCAAACTTGCCCATATTGTTTGGTCAAGATCAATAGAAAAGTAACTCACCCAATTCGTAGTCGTCTGTGACCATAAACATATACGCCGCAGCAAATATGTAGGTATTTTAAAGCCTTGAACACTCTATAATTTTTATTTTCGGCTTTCACAACTAGTCGTCGACGATTGAGCCATATTTATGGAAACTCACATAATGGCAACACTGTATATGTTTGTATAAGATCTAGTCGGTCACACCAGGCGCGCGCCACTTGTTGCTCCATAGAATTTATTGGCTTTTGGTGTCGTCGTTGTCGTTGTCGTTGACGTTGTCGCCGTCTAGTTGTTGCCATTTGCAAGCGACGAGCAATCTGCGGTCATTTGGCATATTCTACGATCGGCTTGAAATCCGCTTTGTTGCTGCTCATTCAGCCCAAGTTTCCTTAAGCAGCCAAAAATTTGTGCACATAAGCGGCTCGATGCTAAGCAAACAAACAATTATCAACCTGAGTGAGTAGTACCATAAGTCATTGTTACAGCGCTGCGTTGCCAACTACTTTTGCTGCATGGCATTTGATTGCTTGTGCTTGGCGTGTTGCTGATGATACCATTCGAGAATTGTTTTTTTATTATTCCTGCTCGCCTTAGCTTTGACAAATCTTTCGATCGTTCGCTTTGTGATCGGCAATCACTGGCTTCTATGGCTTTGTTTGCAAATAACACCAGAAGAAGAATCAATAAATACGCGATTCAATCGATATGTGTTGTGCAATACGAGTATGGGTAAACCAATAGTTACGGGCTTGACTTTTGTTGTCATTGTTGTTGCACCACCGTGAAATGTGTGTGAACAAAGAATGTGACAAAATTTTTCGTTAAGCCAAAAAACATAAACAACTCATGTTTTGTTATAACTGAAAAAAAAAATTTAAAAAATATAATTTTTCATTAAAACTTTCAATTATATAATTTACTGAAATATAAATCAATTAGAACTGAAATTAAATAGAAAAATATTTCTTTGAATTTACATATTCCGAAAATGATGTGCTCTTAAATTATATAAATTATTTCCTTTTTTCATGCATTTGCATGTACATACGCGCATACATTTATCTAACAAGAGATCTTTTAGACCTAAAGACTGTGTTATAAGAATTATTTGATATTTTTTTTAAATTTTTTTATTATTTTATATTTTCAATTTGACATCTTTTTTCGTTTTTAATAAATAAATAAATACATATTTCTTTTATTTTTATGTTGTGGTCTTTATGAACAATTTTATTTTACTTTATTTTTATATATTCGAAAAATTTTTAAATCCAAAATCGATGACGTCAAAATTATTGCCTACTATTAGCCTAAAGTTACCTTAATTGACATTCAATAAAATTCTCAAGTCAATACACCGTTACCGCGATAAGACAATTTGCATAGCGAGACTTGCCAGGCTGCTGGGATACTACCACAGATCCATGATCATCTGCTAAAAGCCGGACCACCGCCTAGGAAAATCAAAAATAAAGTACTTAACTTAACAGAATAGAATATTCCAACAACTCCACATATGTACGTGTATATATCCAAGAAAACCTGGCACAATTAAGCTCTGGCGACTGCAGCTTACTCAACTCCAACCTTTCCAGATCCGACTCCAACACAACCAACGTTTGTATGTTCTGCGTGCAATGAGTCTCCATAAGATATCACACGCCTCTTAGTATATATATCAAAAGCCCACTCATCCAACCCCACTCTCTCTTAGGATGACATTGACTAGCTTTGCTTTGCCTGAAAACGAATGAGAAGTACTCTAATGGTAACAACTTTCGCTAACCTTATACCCCCATAGAACTTCGTCAGGGAGATAAAATGTTTATATTTGTTATCGAGTATGAGTCTGGAGAGTATTCCAAGCTTGAAGGTGAATACATTAAATGAGTATGTGTAGATATGAATACCAGAAATTAATGGATATGATTCAGTAGAGGTTTAAATTGCTACCTACGACTGTTCCGAAAGCGCTAGAAGGCGGATCAGCGTGAAATGAAATGGCTTAAGGGGCGCACCTAGAATAATGGCCAAAAAGGTGAATTTTGGGAATTTTTATTAAAAAAAAAATATTTTATCTATTATTTCAAAATTTTTAGAATATATATATACATGTTTCAGGAATATAGAGTGAAATTTTTGAAGAAAAAAATTAATTATTTTTTAAGTTATAGTCGATCTCCAACGGCGCGAAAAAAAGGTTCTTCACTGCTGTAGTGATTCCGGCCTTCTCCGTGGATGGAATCTAAAAAAAAAATTCTCGTTAAACTAGATAATATTGTCTGTACAATGACCAACGATAAAAAAAGGACAAAAATTGACAATATGGCGGCGTTTAAAAAAAAAATAGTCGAATTTTACCCAAAATTTGGGTCGTTTTTGGCCTGCCAAAATTCGGTTTTTTGATCAAACCAAAAAAAAATTCGATAGTAATCGGATCATTTGTTTTTGAGTAATCACTGCAGCAAATTCGGAAAATGCGGTTTCCAGAAAAACGCGTTTAAAGATAAAATGATCTGGCACATCTCGTTGCTAATGAGACTCTCTAACTGCCGAGCGGCTCCTCTTTAAATTGCTATAACTCAAAAACTATTTGAGATATAAATTTGAAATTTTAATATGCTATTTTTAAAGGTTTAATCTACCGAAATATGAAAAAAGATCTTTTTTTTTTTTTTTGAAATTTTACAATAGTTGTGGCCTTTAACTGCCTCAAAGTCTACCCAGATCGTGTATATAATGGTAACGAAGGGAAGCACATTTGCTCATGAAGGAGAGTTTTAGGCTTAAGGACAGACCACAACCTGTTGCCGTCAGGAAAACTAGGGAGTCTGGGGTTAGTGAAAATTTCACTTATATCCTGTATCTTAGCAGCTTCATTATTCAGAGGATTAGAAGAAGTCTGAAAACTGCGTATCAAGGGCCCTCTTCAACTTCTCAAAACACCTTGACTTCCCAAATGACGAGCTCTTTACAACGATTGACTTAACCTCAAATTAAATTGAACATGCATTTGGCGACATAAAAGACTAACAGAACTATGTTAAGACATAGCAGCCAGCCAAAGTAATCTATTTTCAACTCAACTGCTGTTGCCTTCGGTCTTACGTTTAACCCATTCAACACCACTGTGCGACATTACTTCTTGTACTCGTAACTACTTTCTGCCTTTTGTCGCTGCTGCAGTTAATCGTTTTGTTGGCGGCATACATATTGTATGAGCTTGTTGCACAGCTAAACATACATACATTCTTACATACCTGCATGTAAAGAGACCATCGAACAAAACAACTGACACCTTCCTTGACTACTTCATTGTATTCGCTGCTGGTGATAATGTTACTTCTGTTGCCGATGATGCGTGTTTACCATTTTTGTCAAAGACTAGCAAATTATCGTCGACAGACTTGTTGACTACACAAACACACACACACACACACACACACGCGGATGCACACATATTGATGCATATAAATAAGAGAAGATGAGAAGATGAGCTTTGTTGCAATATAGGATTTGCCATTTTTTACAATTTCTGTGTCAGTTATATGAGGTCTCCGCTCAAGGCAGTCAAGCGGGCAGACAGCGGCTCAAGTAAGGCGCGTACATATGGCAAGAGCAACGGCGTTTGTTGAAGTTGTAACGGATACGAACCATTTGTGGATTTGTGGCAATGCAACTGTTGCATGAAAAAATTATGTGCCACACAGCTGTTTATCTGTATATATGTACGTGTATGCATGTACACACATATACAATATTATCCGTGGGTAAGCAATAAAATGGGTTTGTAAATAAATTTGTACAACTAAATATACCATTTCGCTTATCTCTGAGTGCCTTTGTGAATTGTCAATGAGTCGAGCGTAACTTTGCGGGCTGATATTGCACCGTAAATTTTGTTCTTCTTCATGTTTTTCTTCCCGGCGTTCGCCGAATTCCGTTTGAGCCAAACAAAAAGTAGTGAAAAGAGTGTGGAAATAAACGCACGCAAAGAGGAAGCGCAACAAAAACTCCCTCAGATCTTTATCGACAATTACCGAAATTCCTGTGTCCCATTCATACCTGCCTTTGTTTGTGTGTGTAATTAGAAAACACCTTTGTGGCCACAACCGCAACACAATCAAATATTAATTTCGTTTGCCAATAGATATTATCGTGGTTTTGAAAGGCGATAGACAGACAGTATGTCAATGGGACGTGCCTACCATTAAAGCGTTGCCTTTTGGGTTGTATTCTTACATACACATATACATACATACAAACATAAGTAACTACATTGCGTCTTTAAGGGAGTTTATACGCACTCAAGTGTAGCGCTGACCAGGGTTATGGGAATGTGACCTGTGACAGCATACACAACACACTTACATACATACACGTATGTAGAACTCAGGGGTGCCTAGCGAAGGGTATAAAGAAAATTCTCTTATACGATTGCAGTTTCCGCGGCCAGGGATGTGGAAAGGGCAGGAGGGGGAATTCTTCTAGATGAAATAAAAATAAAAATTTAAGTTAAATGTTCTAATTGCGGACGCCCCTCGGCGGGGAATGTCCACCCCTCCGAGTGTGTTTCGGACCTGAAATTAAGGCTCCGCATAAAAAAAAACATCAGCCCCTCGGAGGCGGTTTAACATAAACAATAGGCCCCTCCATTTGTTGGAAAAACAGCAAGACGCAAAACCACAAAATGGAGGAGGAGCTCGGCCGTAAATCAGTTCAGTAGTTAAAAAGCGTCAATTATATGTATATAAATCCCTTGCAGTTGATCTCCGCTTCCTCTTTAGGTATTGAAATGAGAGTTCGCGAACTCATAAAGAGATTTGCCCTATCTGCCTCGAGAGGTTGGAACGCAGCCAGATTTTGGTACCGAAATTAGAAAGTATTTTCTATGACACTCTTGGGCGAGTAAAAAACTTTCACTCTAAAGGGTCTTGAAACAGGTCTAATCTAAACAACTCCTTTAACCAACTTGTAGTTCATTCTTGCCCTTCTACCGGTATTAACTCTGTTGTGTATTGTAAACTTCATCATAAATCCAACTCGCTTTTCTCTCCAGTTTAAGAAGACTATATGGAGTAGATTCCATGCTATAGTGTCTTCTGTGTTCGAAGCTCTATAGCGTCTTCCGGCTTTTCGGTTGAGACACAAAACTTCAGTTTTTAAAACCTTTTTGCTCCGATGAAGCTCGTAGTAATTGGAGCTCACGTTCATTATGTATTGAGCTCTGCCTTCTTCTGATATTTCCATTTCGATATCCAAGACTACTTCTTTTGGTTGTTCACAATATACCGTTTTAGTGTCGACTCCAATTTCTCTGACTCGCGGATCTGCCCGATGCGAGGATAAGACAGGGTATAAGTCATGCTTCAACGAAGTTTATATGACAATAACCACATTCTTCATTTCACCTTAAAGACACCTATCAGAAAGTAACCTAGATTAGATTAAGTTGAATTCTTTGCTGCGAATCGGTTAACTTAGGCCACCAGCCACCACGGACTAGTTGTGATGCCAATGAGAGGCCTCTCTGCGTGTCTGCCCCATTGGAGATGCTATGCAAGAATTGTAGATATCTCTTTTCTTTGTTAATATCCTGATCTGGGATTGAGATAAATCGTAGAGGAAACGATTTGCTAATAGCAAGCGAGTCTGCATCTGTTGGTACTCAACTATCCCATTGACTTATATTCGGACGGAACCTCCTAAACATCTTACAATGATAGTGACACAAGTGACATTATACAAACACACCACAACAATGGGAGGTCGATCCAAGCGGATATTCAAAGCCCCAGCATGTGTGGTTCACAATGCTCCACTAACAGATAAAAGTATCGTCCTCAGTACTCTATGAGATTTAGAGGTGGTCGAATTTTTCTCGAGTCTTAGCCGCCAGACGACTAGTGAAGACGTCACATAAAGTTTGTGGGAGTTAATGATTCTTTATAACTGTAACTCTAGTAAAGCTTCTAGGGTCGGCAACCTTAAGAGGCTTGGGGAAAATATATCAAATGATCAGCTCCACCATATTTCATTGATGAGTGGAGGAAGAGCTTCAGCCATGCTGGCACCAAACTGATTCTTTCGAACTAATCCAAGCAGGCAGAGTGGAGTCCTTACAGCCTTGAATTTGACTGAATAGTACAGACCGAAGATTTTTAATACAAAAAAAACCTTTGAGATTCCTACTCCAATGGAACCAGTTACAGACACACGCGCAAAAATACTTTGGGAAACACATAACCACAGCTGAATGTGCCCATTAAATAGCAACAGCGTAGATAATATCACTTTTATTCTTCGCTGGAACACACACCACCACCACCGCTCGGCATTACTTCCAGACACATGCGGAAGTGACTAAATGATGAAAACGAAAATTCATAGAACACAGAGAAAGGTGTCAGTTCGGAAAACGCAACAAAGACAGACAACGCCGCAATCGACAGCTCGACTGATAGACTAACGAACAGACAGACAAATTGTGTCGACAATGTGGGGAGCAGTCGCAGCCATGAGAGCCACCAAAAAACAAAAAAAAAAATGGAAACAATGAAACTCGAGGGCCTGCTGTGTGCGTGAAGTCAACACAAACAACAATGACATTGAATGTCAAGGAAATGCACACATGGTTGAGGGCACATGCACAAACATACATACATACGTGTAGATACATACAAATATACTCGTACATGTGTGAAGTCAAATAAATGAGCAAAGCAATGTTTTAGGCTCAACACTCGAACAACGCCTGCAACCTAAGACAACAAAATACTAGTGGGAGCTCATAAGCACACACACCCACACTCACACATACACATGTGTGCGCCGGGAAATGCACTTTAGAGTCGAAAAAATAAAAATTGCATTTGAAATTTTAGTGCGAGAACCTTTTGCTCTGGAGGCGAATTGTCGCCGTCGGACCGAAATGCCTGTCAAACATATGGGCGTGAGTTGTGAGTTGTGAATGTGTGTAGTTAATAGAAAAGTTTTATTACATATGTATATAAATTTACATATTTTCAAAATGCCTTCAGCGCATGCGCGCGCACTCACTTGTGAGCCTAGTGTGCTCTTGTACAAGTCGTAAAATTTAATTATATTGCAATCGGAAGGCGCTTGTAGGCGCACACGTGTAGTGACTTACATGCTTAGTGGGTTCGCTTTTGTTTTTAAACATACGTACATATATACCTACATACATAAGCACATATATCCCTATTCTTCTTGCTGTGCACTTAAGAGTGCCTCGAACGTGTTGTGCATGGTTAAAATGCAATTCTATGCTTCAATAAACTACATGTGTGCCTATCTAAATGTCATTAATACATACATACATACATTCATACATACATATATAGTTATTGTATATACCTATGCACATACATGCATACTCGTATGTATGACATTTCAGCGCCAGCGCAAGGCCGTCAAAAAGGCGTTACAGTCAATTTTGTACGTATGTTTTTATGTATTTATGTATTTATATAGATATGGCGGTAATCAGTTGACAATGCAAGCCTTTCTTGTTGTTTATGTTTTTTTGCTGTGGAGAAAACACTTATCAACAGATATACGCACATACATGTTTGTTTTGTTTTGTGAAACTCTACATCAGCCTATTTTTAGGTTATATTTTCACTGGATGTGTCAAGAATAATGAATTTTTACATCAGTGGAATATTTGAAAAGTAAGAAAATTTTTAATCAGAAAAAAATAATGAGAGATTTGCATTTAATGTGTAAAGATATTTGTTGGTGTTATTTAGAGATAACGGTTATTCTTCCCTTTTCTTGCGAAACGAAAGTCCTCTGTAAGATTTTATGACCAGCAATAAGCCCACAGGGCTGTGAACCCTTTGGTTCTTTGTAACAACAAAGAAGGTCCATTTTATAGCAATCGAAAGTAGTCGCCGTAGTCGCAGGATGTCAATGCTTTTCGGAAAACGTCAAAAGCGTTTCAATATGCAATTTTGAAGCCTCCTCTAGTCGTGTGAATTGTGAAGCTACGGTATATCTTAGACGAGTACTAGCTAAGGCCAAACAGAAAAAAATTCAAGGGTTCCAACGCGACACTCCTATCTTCCCCACCTCACTTCCTGTAAGTGTCCCTACTACGAATGCCTAATTTTGCCCCGTCCTTGGGCCAATAAATGTCTTGCAGTACTTACGCACGTGATCTTTGCAGTTGGAGCTTTGCATGTCGCTAATTTGTTCTATTTCACCTTGACCCGCCATAAGCTCCTTCAGAAATTTCATTATATTGGATGAGTGCATAAGTTCGTGCCCGATTCCGCTGGATGCCGTTCGAATCGTTTGAGAGTGGCGGTCGTGAAAGAAATATATACATATTAATATATATATCGTTGGAAAGGTGACAGTCCGAACTGTAAATCAAGCATAAAATAACTTCATTTTGATTTGATTTGCTTAGTGAAAAGAAGCATGGAAGATGGACAATGAAAAAGATCATATGCGTCATATTATGTTATACGAATTCCGCAAAGGCAAAACAGTAGGCGCCACAACTAAAGATATTCGCGAAGTTTATTTGGACCCTGCTCCAGCACTCCGCACAGTAAAGAAATGGTTCGCGAAATTTCGTTCTGGAGATTTTAACCTCGAAGATCAACCTCGCAGTGGACAGCTTTATGAGCTTGATGACGATGTTCTAAGAACTTTAGTTGCGAATAACTCACGTATTTCGACGGAATAGGTTGCCAGTGAATTGAACGTCAACAAATCGACTGCGTTTTGTCCTTTAAAAAAGGTTGGGTACACATTGAAGCTTGATACATGGGTGCCACATCAGTTGAGTGAAAAAAACAAAGTGGACCGTATGTCAACAGCAATTTCTTTGCTTCGACGGATCAAAAACGAACCTTTTTTGGATCGGCTCGTGACTGGTGATAAAAAATGGATCCTGTACAACAATGTTCAACGCAAAAGAAAATGGAAACAGGCACTCGAAGGGGCGGAACCGATGTGGAAGGTGGATCGCATCCGATGAAGGTACTGCTGTGCATTTGATGGGATATCCGAGGCGTGATCTATTTTGAGCTTTTGCCAGCTGGAGAAGCGATCACTGCCAACAAGTATTGTCAGCAATTGGTCGAATTGAAGAAAGCAATTGATGAAAAACGTCCGATTTTGGCCAATCGCAAAGGAGTTCTTTTCCATCATGACAACGCCAGGCCACATGTTGCAAAACCGACCCTGGCCAAACTGAAGGAGATGAATGGGGAAATCATGCCGCATCCCCCATATTCACCCGACATTGCACCTTCTGATTATCATTTGTTTCGATCGCTGCAGAACAATTTGAATGGAAAAAAATTTAAAAATGTGGAAGACGTCAAAAACCACCTTGACACCTTTTTCAACGAGAAACCGCGCGATTTCTATGAATCAGGCATCTGTAAATTGGTTGAACGTTGGGAGTGTATTGCCAAACATGATGGCGAATACATAATTGATTGATAAAAGCGCTTTCTTCAAAAAATTTCAATTTTAGTTTGCACTTGAAATCGGGCACGAACTTATGCACTCATCCAATAAATCGGTTTTTGGCAACTTTTGCATTTCCCGTATTGGTTTGCTAGCAATATGGATGGTATTTGGCAGTATCTTTAGCTATTTCGTGGCCTATAATGCGCTTGTGGCCTGGATTGTGTGAGCTCTAGCGCAAAACCCGACCATACAAAATACATATAGATAACTCAATATCCAGGCAGGAAATTGCATAAATTCTAGCGGGGAGATCCAATTTTCCACTGCGCTTTTGTCGCAATTGAGGCTGTTTGTCAGCAATAACGGGCTGAGTATTTTCTGCCAAGGCATCAATCGTTCCGAGCTCATCTGCGTAGACAAGTGATTGCAGATAACCCCACAAAAAAATAGTTCAGTGGTGTTAAATCGCACGATCTAGGATGTCACGACGCGAACTTAAATGCTCACCAAAAGTTGGCTTCAATTAATTGATTGTTTCGTCGTTGTGTGGAAGTCGAAGCCCGTCGACATCAACATCATTTAATTCAGCTACGATAAAGTCATTAATCAGTGCTTTACGCGTGCCCCATTGAATATAACACTATGACTGGCTTAATCAAAGTGACTTTTTGAGGATTTAACGGCGTCTCAAGAATGGCTGGTGGATCATCACCACAACAAATGCTAAAATTTTGTTTACTAACAAACCTTTTTGGTGAAAATCCGGGTCGGTGGCCCTATAATTTTGAGACCATTCGCCGATTTTCTTCATGCACGAGCTATATTTTGCAAGGCCGCAAGCCAGAGCTCCTTTCGCAAAATCTTCTGTAAAGTAAATGGGCGCAAATCCAATTGCAGCGCGAGATGGCGGATGAAGGCATTTGGGCCCTCTTCGATGCTCTATTCTACAGCTGCAATAACGTCTTTGGTAAGCACTGTACGGCGTCTATGAATATTTGTATTCTCTACTAGAGTAAAGGTGGTACGATTCATGGTTTTTCGAATTACCGACTGTCGCACGAATATTAAATGCAGCGCGCTATGAATTGCGCCTGGTCGGGAACCGGAGAGGACGGATTATTGTAGCATTTTCAGTCTTTCGGGAGCTAATTTTTGAAGTACACCCGTTTCGCGGCGACGCAAGAGTTTTTTTTTTCGAATAGGTCAGTTCCCGGTCCACTTTCCAAAATACCCGATGAAATTTCAAATCAATTTTTCAGTATCTATTGGATATTTTTGGATTTTTTTTTTTTAACACGCGGCAGTAGCAATAATACAAAAAGAAAAAGCCTATGTATTTTGTTTGTGTAATCGTAGTTTCGAAACGTCAAAAACGAGATTCGTTCAATATATTTTGTTGGTGTAATAAAAAGTACGTAATGTCAAAACCTATTTCTCATGTATTTTGTTTGTTTAATTTGTTGAGATTGAAGGAAGAACAAGCAATCATATGATGTGACAACTTCACCTTCTTTAAATTCGCCTTGATTGAGCAACGAACGAGTATCGCGGCGCTCACAGTGCTCTCGATACCCCAACCCTGTATGAATCTCTAAGCTCTGATTTGTATATATATGATATTGTTATATTAAAATGTAATGAATTACACATTTGTACTGAAGTTTGGGGAAATCGAAAAGCTTTATCATATATCCCCCTCATACCAATTGTTCAGTTGTGAGAACTCATTTGTAATGATAGGTGTAAGTTTTCGGCACGGCAGAAGAAGGCTGTCACTTTTTTTCGTGTGATATTTTGGATTTTCAAACCAAACATTTTACTTTCATAAACCACCGATTTTCAAATTTTTACAAATATTATTTCATTTTACTTAGTGACTTTTCAGACCAAAAATTTTACTTGCTCATACCACTCATTTTCCATATCAAAATATCTCCATAAATATAATATAATAATTTCATAATTAATATGCAAAAGTAGTGGACAATAACTAAGCAAAAAAAAAAAAAAAAATGTACGAGTGAAATGTAATATTTTTGCCATCATTAACATATACCTACATAATTACTATTGCACTAAAAATTTACAAAGTATTTTTATATACTCGTACATATGTACATACATACACGTATGCACTCGTAAACTACTCGTAAGTACGCCAGCACATGTGCCACCACTTTTATCTATTTTTATGTCCTTTCGCTCGTTAAACATTTTTAATATGCAAGCATAGTGAAATTCATCATTATTCATAGTTTCTACTAAATAAGCATGTTTTTAGTGAGTCCCCTTTCTTTCTTTCTTCGTAGTTTTTGGTTTTAAAAATTTTGTTATTTTTCAATTTTTTTTTTTTTTATTTTTCAATTTTTGCCGTTGAGTGTTTCCATTCATGGCACATTTATTCGTGAACGGATGTCGAGCACATGTATGGGATCACAGCACTAGAACAATGCCTGTCTGGTCTGTCTGTCTGTCTGTTTGTCTGGTTGTAAGTTGTGCGCGTCCGTCGGGTACATTTAATATTTTAAATGTTGTTGCGTCCCTCTCGTCACGCTTGGTGAGCGTAAACGATATCAAAAGAACAGCGTAACAAAGTGAGCATAACTACCGGTGGAGCGCGCGGTTGGTGCCTACCAGTCAAAGTAGTGGCATTTATGCATAAATACGTCTAAATATACTCTCATATGTTGCATAGTAAAATAGCAAAAAATGCATTGATAATTAGAAAAGGGTTTATAGGAAGAAGTATTTAAAAAAAAAAATTAAACACAATCTCAAAAGTTGCTTCAAAATAATAATAAAAAATTTTGTTTAGCAATTTCCGAGTTCATTAATGAACTTTATTTGCATTGAATTTCGAAAATCAATTAAAAAAAAATTTTTTTACTAAAATTTAAAATTAGTTGTATGGATTTCTCAAATTGTTTATAAATGCCAAAATTTAATTATTTTGATATCTTATCCGCACTCATTCTCAAACCAACAGAAAACTTTTCCTACTGGGTCGCTTAGATTATCCACGTAATAAATGCCTTTAACTACTGAATTCAATAGATCCCACATACATTGTTCATTTTATAGCTTCAATTTGATTGGTTTTGAATTTTGGCATTGTAAAAAAAGAGAAAAACAATACCAAAACATGCATTGCATAATAGAGAAGGTAGTTGTTGTAGGCGTCATATTTTACAACTTAATTATCTTTAAAACGAACAATGAAAAGTAAAATTAATAGTTGTAATTTAGTTGCTATTGATAGCGAGAACAATGAAAGCGAAGTGTTTTAAAGAAGAGAACGTGCGTAAAATACAACACATATATACGTGTATATGTATTGTGCTATGATATTCAATAAACGATCGTTAAATTGAATATAAAAATTACTTAGTTTAAAATTCCAGGCAGGGAATGTTAATCAAATAAATATTTAATTTTAACAATAATTTTTAGATATTGGTTAGAAACATAATTTTTATAATATTTGAGAATATTAATTATAAAGAAAATAATTGATTTAAAACGGGGCATTTTTTTACAATATTTATTTCGAAACTTGGTAAAAGTTTTGTGATTAATTTTATTTTTGTAGAAATTATATAAATGTAAATTTGAAACAAAGAAATTTATATAAACTATGATATTAAATTCTAATAAAAATAATAAGTTATTATTTGCAACGATTTAACACACAAAATAAATAAATTTAACACTGCGTTTCACTTAAACACATTTCTATAATAACTCCATTAGCATCCTTTCCGTTGTATGCAAATATTTATTGTGTTAAAAATATTTGCAAACAGATTTTTTGAACACTGTGAGGTGTTTTGAGTAAATATGACAACAAAGAGTCTAACAATCGATTGTAAAGAAATTGTTTTTGTTATTTATTTAGTTAAATATTGAAATATATGCAATTTATGCATTTTAAGCTCATAAAAAGGCTTTTGAGAGTTATTTACCGAGAGGAAATAGACAAGGCAATCAACACTGCTTTGACGTCCGCAAGAAATTATGGTTATACATATGTATATATGTATATGTATTCATTCATGTATATACACACATATTTGCAAAAAAGTAAATAAATGTTTCTATGTCAGAAAACATTTTAAGAGTGCTGAATAATTTATTTTTTTTGCATTTAAGCGGATACTTTGAATATATTTTTGCTAAGCACTAAATGACAAATGACGTTTTTTTGAACGTAGTTGATTGAAATTTAATAATTTTAAAAATATTTTCATAGTCGGAGAAAATCATTTCGGCACGTGGCAGTTGTAAGATCTTCTCAAAATGTTGCTATTATTACTCATACTCGGAATTTTAAGATTAAGAGTTGATTAGCTACATACATACATATGTATGTGTGTAAATGCAACTATTAATATTTTAAGCATTTGTCTTTATTACCAACAGTTTTACTTTTATATGAATATTATTCATTATTTGTTTGCGAGCAGCTGTTAGCCTCACTGTCTTCTAATGACTTCATATTTATGAGATCATTAACAAATCACCACTGGCTACCACGAAAATCGAATGAGAGTTGTAAAAATGACGTCAAATTCGATATACGAATAAATACCGTATAAAATATATAGACAATTTTGTTGTCTACCATCAATTGGTTATGAGTAATATGCAAATATATGCAAATCAACGAATAAAAATAATTATTTAAACAGCTGTTATTATGACATACATTTTTGGTGAGTGCATAGCGTTGCCAACTACCGTTCTTCCAAGTCTGTTTGGTGTGATATTTTCTTTTATGTTTGTTGATCGATGAAAAAATAAAATATGTTTTGAATATAATTTTAACAGCTTTCCTCCTGAAAAGCAATATTGTTTTTAAGTTCATATCAAATTCATTTCATATTCAGCGATTAAATGTATGTATGTATATACATTGAATTGGCAATGTGACAAAATAAAAATTATTAGAGATACATATTTACATCTACAAACATATATTTTGAATGTGTTTGGCGCTTAATATTATATATAAAAGCGAGAAGAAATATACTATATACACTAGCAGTGAAAACTCAACAGCCAAGGTTTGTCATGTACATAGTCTTTCCTAGCACTTGTTGCCAAATGTCCCAGTGATCTTATATATTAATTGTAAATAAAATAAACAAAACCTGAAGAAAATACATGGTGCCAATTTTGTTTTTTTTTTGGTTTATTTAAATTTTTTTCTAACATAAAAAATCAGTTGATGAATCATTGGTTGCTATGACGCAATGTGTGAACTCAGCGGATGTCAAACGCTGAAAAAAGATCAATCAATTAAATATTTTGAATCATCTTAATTTCTAAGTAATTTAACAGATGACAGAAAAAATAAGATAAAGTTCCAAAACTTGTAAATCAAACCATAATTGATTAACAAATAGTAAGATATACTAAAAAAAACACAAAATTTAATAAAAAAAAAAAGTAAAAGTAAAATAAAATAAAATAAAATAAAATAAAATAAAATAAAATAAAATAAAATAAAATAAAATAAAATAAAATAAAATAAAATAAAATAAATTAAGTGAAATAAAATAAAAAAATAAAATAAATTAAATTAAATTGACACAAATAAAGAAAGTAATGAAACAAGCAAGGAAGAATATAATATTATATATTAAAAAATGAAATAAGCAATATTATTTGCATGCACATATACAAAGTAACGCGACAATTTTTTTGTATATTTGTGTGTGCAAAAAGTAAGGTATCATATTCATTTTAATAAATATCAGTTTGTGATTAGCAAATGTCAATAACTTTATGTTCGGCGCTACAGTTGTGATTAACTACATACATACTTGCAATTATTTAAACTTGATCAAGCATAGTATGTATGTATATATACTATATACTATTACGCTTATGTGTCACTTATTTAATGCAACAAAATTTTTAATTTCTATTTTTTTTTTCTTTTTAATTATTTTTCGTTACAGTTTAATTGTCGGCGCTCCTAAATTCGATACCTCCTCATACCAACAGGGTGTGGTAGAAGCAGGCGCTGTCTTCCAGTGTGGCATGAATGATGGTGATTGCAATTTGGTGAAATTTGATTCCTCAGGTGAGTAAGTGACCGAAGAGGCAAAGAAAAAAAAAAGCCAAAAAAAAATTTACGAAATTAAAATGAAAACAGTGAGGAAAAAATTAATACATACTTATATAAATTGAGAAAGAATTTAATAGGAAATGGAATTCAACAAAAATAAATAAAAAATAAAAAAATAAAAATAAAACAAAAGATGGATATGAAAATGTCTAGGGTGCGTGTAGTATTTTTTTTTTTAAGAATTGAAAATTAAGAAAGTGCATGTATGTTATAAGTATAATTTAAATTTAAAGCAATTCTAATTAAACTCTGCTTAATGAATGAAATAACATAAGTATGTATTAACAAAAGCTGCGGTGTGAGGTGCAATCAGGAAAAACAACTGGATTTCTGAGGTATTAAAAGGTTATGATGCCATATCATAAGTGCCTTACGACTTCGGGCGTCACTGTACTCCTTCACGCTTTATATACATATGTATATATGTCTTCTTCATGCGCATATAATTAAACACTAATTTAATGCTTGAATAGCATAAAAGTCCGTTCCACTAAAAATCACACCTCAGTCATTTCATAGAACGTTTGATGTTCGAAAACGAAAAGATGTTACCTCAGTGATTTTCATGCCACTTTTAAGCATTTTATTATTCGTCTTTCTATATTTCTAATTTTTTATTAAAGCATATAATTAGCTGGCAACACAAAGCGACCCGATTGCATGCCGCCACCTTAGAATTTGGCATGACATTAAAAAGCGTTCTTCTTTTTTCCTTTTTTAGTGTGTAGAGAGTACAAATAAGAATATTCCTTATAACCCAATGAGCACAAGAACCATGTTTTTGGCGATATTCAGGCATTACATACTTACGCCATATTTCAGATATATTTAAGCTGTCCTTTAAACCCAATACTTTCTATTTTTTCTGGCTTCCGACCAACAGCTGATTACTCGCATAAATAATTTTCATAAAAAAAGCACATGGTCATAGCAGCCAACTTCAAGAAATAATAAATCAGTAGTGCCATTCATTTCCTCGACGGAAATTCTTTCCAACTTTAAACTGTTCCAATAAAGAAAAAAGATTTGCATTTGCTCTTACATTTTTATTTAAGTTAAAAAATAATTCGGGGGCCTTTTTGTGGGCTGACAACCGGGGTTGTCTATGGCAGTGTCGTGCCGAGGCTTGAGTCTTAAAGACTATTACTGTAACATCAAAGTAAAAGTGAAACAAATTTTAATCCCAATATAGATATGTAGATACGTAGGGGTTACCTTTGAAGTGAACACAATGGCTCCCTTCACAGATACCTAAGCCAGAATAGGCGCATTGCGATACCATCTTAGACCTCTTCCACAAGCGATTTTCCAAAAGAGAATGGTGTTTTCGAGGGGCATGTACCGTGTGAACTCTTCTCGATTCATTTCGACCAAGTTTGCTTGGATTAGAGACAAGTTCTGTTCACTCCATATTTTCGAGCAGGCACTGATTTGACTTCCAGAAACGAAGAATTGCGAGTACTGCCGCCTGATGTCCTGCTCGCTCAATTGAAAGAATATGAAGAACGCACTAAGCGCATAACTTTATGTAGCATCGACCAGCCGATGCTTGTAGGCCTATGGTGCGATTAAATCCTGTCTTTCGAGTGTAGATTTGGGCGTTAGAGACGGTACCAAATGGGTATGGTTTCCCATAGGCAGCTGCAAGTAAAATAAAAAATAATGCAGTTAAGTCCAAAGTCTAAATGTGAGAGAGCATGTAACGAGGCGAATTACAATCAATCCAGTTTCTAAGGATTCTGAAGATGATGATGACTGATACCGCTGGCGTGGCAGTCCCATCATATGCCTCGGATCTTTCAAAGCCTTGATATGTTTTTTAAAAAAGTGGACTCTAAAGCAACAGTTGGGGTTCTGAGGAATTGCAAAATAGAACGAACTATCAAATTTCTCTAGAGCAAAGTGTTTTGTAGACAGACCCAGCTATATATATATATATAGGATATCTATTATAACTAAAAAACTAGGTTAAGAAAAATCGTATAAGTGCAGGACATGCGCAGTAGAAGACCTACAGCTGCAGCTCTATCTTTGAGGTTGAGATGCCATTTCTATCACGTTTATCGAAGCTTCAGAATTGCGGAGCTAGCTACGATTAGTTTCTTCCATTAAATTCACAAAATGAAGTTAACTGTATGCAGACGTATGGCTGGCATGGGCTGGGAAGCACAATGAGCCTACAAAATGGCTCAAACCCCAATTTAAGCAACGAACTAACCAACTTTATTTTCTCTCCAAATCAATCTCTTATCAGAAAATATGTAGGTTCCTGTTGAAAATTATAAGTTCAACATTGTCTGAGTTTGGGCAGAGCTACGGCCTACCTCGTAGAATCTCTGTTATGGATGAAGCTATCATTTGGTCTTTAAAGATTAAAATATAAAGCAAAGGTGTTCACCATCAGCTCATGCGCGCATATCAAACTCAAGAGAATGAGAAGAGTAAAAAAAAAATAAAGGAAGCGATCGAGCTCGTCTGGGTTCGGGGACATACACGTATTGAAGGGAATAAAGCAGCAGATAAGCTTACGAGCGAAGAGGTCTAAATCTTCTCTATGAGAGTAGGGCTCTTCAACCCTGTAGGAGTTCATTTAATTCAAGAGGAGTTAACAAATGAAGAAAAGAGAATAAGAAGCAGTCATTGGTATAGTAGGTACGTGATAAGACAATCCTAAAAGTTTGTGGCTCGCTGTAATATCTGAAGATTTAGAGACATCATATTACTTAGTAAGAAGACTGTTGCAGACTAAGCAAGCATATACAAAAAATTGTAATAAGCTCTGTTTAAAGTTATCGCCTCTTCCAACTATTGCGAGAGACATCGTGCACATACTGCTTGAAAGTGAAGCCGTAGCTAGAAGAACCTTCTACTCTCCTGGATTTCTAAGTGCATCAAGACTGCCTGAAGTTATGCGAATCAATTAGAGGGCGAAATAGACTTACGGTCTCGGTTGAGCGGAGGGTCGGTCTATCTATCGAGGTAGAGATCTTTGAGAGCAAGTTGAAGAGCAACAGAAAAGTTTCGCTGGGCAACCTCTAACAAATGTGCGCCACTTCCGAAAAGGAAAAAAGTCGCTCAACGCCATTGTGGGCAAAGAATAAAATAGTCTAATTTATATTTTCACGCCGACTTACCTGTAGCGGCGGCAGCGGTGGTGGCGGCAACAATAACATCTTCATCAACATTTGTGGCAGTCGGGGCCGCATTATGCCAAACAGGGGACACCATTTGAGAGTTTCTTTGTATGTATTGATATATGGCTGCTTTTGATGAAGACACTTTATAATGAATGTTCAGCTATAAAAATAATTGTAACAGTTGGACAACAAAATGGGAACAATAAAATATACAAAATACAATAACAAAAAATGCAGAAATCTTTTAAAGTATAAAAATGGAAAGCTTTCATCTTCATTTGCTACGGTCGCACGTTTGGTGGCACGACCGCATGCCATCTGCTTTGGTGGCAACTGATTTATGTTATTTCTACACTAATAAAAACATAATCAAGAAGTGCCAAGTAAAATCCATAGCAGCCCACGCGGTATTAGAGCGGCGACGTGCGGCGCAGAAGCTGCGTGTCGTGAGCAGTGTCAGAGCTCAAGCCCACGACTTTTTTCCTCTCCTATCGAGCCATGTGCCCACACAAGCAACAAAGAAGCTGCTTAAACTTATCTGCTTACATATTTCCGATATCTAAAGGTAAAATGCCAATAAAACCTGAACATATCTCAATGTTTTCGTCTGAGTATCGACACATTTCACACATTGCTCGGCTGCTGGTGGTGCTGGTCGGTGACCCGCTTGTTTGGACGCGACTGCGCGTAGAAGTGGGCTGAGCGGTTTTGTGGTTGTTGGCCGTTGAAAGCAGCTTACGGCGGCCGCCCATTCAACGCCGCGCGTCCAGTTTGTTACTTGCATTTATACAGTAAAATGTCTATGTATGCGTATGACCGAGTGCATCTGAATTCTTCAGTCTTTGGCAAACGACTCTTGTAAATCATAAATAAATTCACATTCACTAAAGTGGAGAGTCAGTGAAATTGCCACGAGCGTTGCTGATTTGTTGCACATTACCATTAATGGACTGGACTGGTAGCGCAGGCGATGCTCGGCAGAAACAAATGGCTGCAGTTGTTTGCTACTTACTGACAGAAAGAACTTCCACCTTCTCTTCGGCTAAATTTACAACACCCCTGTCAACGCGCACACGCTGCATACCCGCCTTCTTTCACCAACATCAACACGGCCGCCGCCGCCGCCGCCGCCACCACCACCGCCAATTTGTGGCTGTGGCCGAGGTGTGGCTGCTGCCAGCCATGTAAGCCACCAACAAAACTGAGCAGAAGCGAAAAAGAAAATAAATCGGAAAAGCGGATGCGCAAATAAAATTATACGCTTTGCGGCGATGCAGTGATTCAGCCAAGCGGGTGCCGCCACACGTTGCCAAAAGCAAAATAAAAAAAATAAAATAAAAAGCGAAAGCAAAAATGCAAAAATTGCATTAAAAAGCCATACCAACCATTGTGCATCGTGCGCACGCATTTGCATAGTTTTCGCATAAAGTGCGTAGAGAATTTATGCAGAACATCTTGTCGATACACGTCTATGGCGCGCCGAGCTGCGCGCCGTTAGGTACTCTGCTGCTTACTTGTAATTTACAGATTTGCGTTGTGACTCCAAGCGCGAGCCTTGGGAAAGAGACCGAGTAGAATTTAATTTAAGCACTTTGTGTTCCCCTCGAGGGTTGGGCGGACGGAGTTATACTAATATATACAGACGGAAGCTCGACCACGTTTGGGTACGTACGGGTGGCGAGATGTGCTGCAAATCACAGCATTGCAGGCAGAGGAAGTGACGACGTTCATTGCGCTGAAGCGACTCTGTGTTATACAGTGGGCTCTTCCTCTTCGCTGTGGAATACGTATGAGTTTAGAAAAAAAATGCAATTTCCCACCTCTTGAGGTAGCACAAACGATGTTAATACCATTGGCGATCGGGACGAACTCATTTTGTGGGCAAGGAACCAATTCCAGGTTCTCTGTATCATAGGCGAAACTGCTGGGGCTCTTAGTAACACTTTGCTGCATTCCCTTTCTGAGTATAGCCCTCTTGAAAATGTTTTAATTAAACCAGTATTCTTATAAGCATCCAGATTTCTTGCAGCTTACGCAAGGTCGGTTCTCTGAAGCCCGCACATCTACTCTCTCTCTCTCTCTCTCTCTCCCTCTCTTTTTTTCTCTGAGAGCCGATGAAAGGCTTTGGCACATAAATTGCTTTCTCTTATGGACGCAATGTCTTGACTAAACAACTTCAATATTTCGTTGTCGTTTTTATATAGACATGAGTCCAAGGAAGGCAGCGAATAGATTACAATTCAATCAGGACATCCAAGTCATTTGGGTTTGTGCTAGAACTGAGGTATAAGGAGAGCATTCAGTCAACTTTGTTGTGCATTTGCTATTGCTGCTGGTGATCTTTTACATTTACTGCTACACTTCAGCTCAGCTAAAGACCCGCAGACTTGGCTTTATATGATTTTGGGATTACTATATGGAATACAAAATATCTTGCTGTGAATTACACTTATCTTCAAGCATCGTCTACTTTTTAGTATTTCTAATTCCAAATTTCGTAGATTCATCCCTTATTGGCCTCGTTCCGGCGGAATCGGAGCAAATGGATGAGGGATTCCAAATACCTTCTGCAGATGAATCGAATTTCCATAAATGCGGTCGAACTTCAGTGTCTTGCTGCTCCCCCAGCAGAGCCGAGCGGCATACTAGCATGGCGTTCGTAAATTAAATAGGACAACCACTGCACTCAATGCGGTAAACATCCAGAAAACTCCTGGCCTTAACCAACTCTGCCCTTGAAATTTCCTGGTAGCGCAGCATTTTCTCAAAGCCGAGGTTGAAGACGTCGATCATGAATTACCTAAATGGTAGAGAGTTAAAGGTGGAATTTCGGCGTCACAATTCGGAACTAAGGAAAATTTAACCAGGAGCTCCACATGCAGGTGTCTTCTTTCCGTTATTGCTTAATGTGTACATTTCCATGCTTTCTTCATTAAAGAGCGTGTTTCCCCGATCTCATATGCCGAAGTTTCTCAACATTGGTATACGGCATGGGTACTGCTACCTCTCCGACCCTTTCCAAAAACAATTCCAAGAAGCAGCGAAATGCACACAGACCGTCTGCACCAGCTAGACGCAGAAAAACTGGCTCGACCTGAATGTCAATGTTGATGGCAACAAAATTTCGGCTGTTAGCAACCCGAAGCTAGTGAGGGTTTCAACGACAGTGTGAGCTCACTCTGCCTACGAATGTAATGCTCATCAAAGTTGAGAGCCATAAGACAATCTTGAAGTCGTTTAAACACAGTTCCAAAACATTGCCTGAAGTCGAACCTCTTTATCCAGCAAGTGAGTCGCAGAACTCCCAGTACGGGTCGCATCTTACTCTGGAACTGAGTAGATGAATTTCTTTCGCACAAAACCTCACTTCTATGCCGAGTTAATAAATTTTAATTAATTTTGTATTTTACTACTGAGAGTCTTGCGCCACAGTGCCGCCTTGTGTATGTTGTAAATTCAACGGCGGCCGATTAAAAATAAACCGCATATTTGCAATGTTCGTTCGCATCGTAAATCGCCATCAAATGGCGTGCAGTGCATTCATCTGCGGATTTACACATTTTTATTCATTGGCACAAAGCTCCTTATATACTCACGCCGAGCGGCCGAGCAGTTGTAACTATTTCATTGCTCCCTCTCTGCTTCTTCTTATTCCCCCTATTATTAGCCATTTTTATTGTAGCAAACATTGTTGTTTACTTTTTTCAACTTTTTCTCCGGTTGCCGCTTGCGGTTCATTACTATAACTTTGCACCGCAATCAGCGCATAATCGACGCGAACCAGCGCAAAAGCCAATCCACCAATCCGCCAAAGTACAACTAAGAGCCGCCATAAAAATGCAAATTCATGTTTATTAGTTGCACTCAACGCAAGCACTGGCGAACAGCGCGCGCACGGCGGTTGGGCAGAGCAGAGCTTGGTGGGTCCCGTGCAGTCGCAGCTTCAGCGTCTGTAGCAAACGCAATAGAATTGACTACAAGTGTAGCGTGAGTTTTGGCTCGAGGCGAGCACTGCATGTGGAGCGAGAAGAAGGCAGAGGCGGGAGAGCTGGGAAGTGTCTCGACAGATGTTCACAATCGGCTTGGTGGATGCTTAAGCTCTAACGTACTGGCTGTATGGCTGGTGGGCTGGATGAATGCTTGGCCATGCACAGCAAACAAATGTGCATAGATGTAGGGAGATTTATACTCGTAGTCTTCTGGTTAACTGACGAAGTGTTAATGAAATTCTCGTATCCCGACGCGTCCGCTGAGGCGGTATGCGGCTTTTGACTTAAGTAGCTGCTGCATGGGCACTTAATGTTGTGCGCTAATTCACTTTCAGCTGTTGCATGATGGCATCAATGAGCTCAACACACCTCCCCTGTTTGTTGTTACGTTTTATTGAGTGTGTGGTTATTGTTGTTGTTTTTGTTGCACTTAAGTACTTAATATGCCATATACATTGGCGTCCAATGTCAGCACTTCCATGTGGCAACTTACATAAATATTTACCGTAACTTAAAAATAATATGCAAATCTACAACAACATTTATATATATTAACTAATATTTGTTTGTACGGCGACAAGAGCTGTCGGTGGACACGGCAAGGATGGGCGGCGCACTGTGAAGCTTGATGAATGGGCGAGATCATGCGTTAACGTCACAATGCCGCCGTGCGGTCATTGTCGGACAGTCTAAGATTGGCGCTGCCGGTATGCGACTGTTCGTGTTTATAAATATTATATATATGTACAAACATACATATACAGTAGGGTTGTAGTGGATCTCGTGTTTTCTGCTAGCTCCAAGAATTAGTAGCTCAAAACACGACGTAGTTGGGGCTACGCAATGATTTTCGGCCGAGCTCCTACTCCAATTTGTGGCTCGCAATATAATAATAGAAGAATCTAAATTTTATTCGAAGAAAGATTTTTATGAGGAGCCCTTATTTTATACCATAAACACTTTCTGATGGCTACCTTTCTCCGCTCTCAACGCAGTTTGAAAATTAACTTTCTATAGCTTTGGATGTTTGTTAGACCGGAATTCGAACCCTGGCCCATCAAAATATCAGTTGGCTAGGGCTAACTACTAAGTTATTGCAGTCATTCGCGCTCCCTAAATCGACAAATTAATTTATCCACGGCTGAGATTTTGATAGGGCTTCTTCTTCAATACTTTCCAAGCGAACATCCTTGTAAATATGTGGGCTAATGATTCCGATATACTCGTTCGGGTCTCCAACTTCGTTTAGTTCATTTGATTTCCTCAATACAGAGATTTAGCTTGAAATAAATTGATTGGAAATCTTTTGAAAGTTTTGAAAGGCCTTACAATGATCGGAGCATTCTCACCATCGTCGTCTAGATATTCACAACCACGGCCAACCGGCTCGAAGGTCCATGTCTAAGAAGGAGGCACGCCACCAGAGCAGTTCCAATAAATTCACCGCCACAATATCCCTAACAGCCACTCTGAAGCGAAATATAGTTGGGATGCGCCGGAGCATTAGGTGCGCACACCATGTTGACATCAATGACGCAAAGTACGTGCAAAGAATCGAAATCACCGGCATGCTGATCGCCGACTACCAATTGTCGATTATGCTTTGTGTTAAAAACAATGCAAATTATGGCGACGCGTAGGCACAGCGCTGTAATGACGGCGAATAAATGACAGTCGCACTTGCAAGTGCATTATTTCATACATTTTTTTGTTTCTTTTCTTAATTCAAATTTTCGCACTGTCGCCAAATCGGAAAGGAAGTACGCTGGCACATGCGCAGAGGCGTATTGTTATTTAAAATATTAAAACAAAATTAAATAAATTGAAGTGTTTAACACTTTATTATTCACAAGTGTGCAGTGTTTTCCTTTATTCTTTGAGTTCCGCTGATTTCATGGCTAATAATGATTGCTCATCAATTTTTCTCTTCCTTCCTGTCGTTATATTTATCGTTTATACAATACAATTAAGAGGGATTAAGTAAATGCTTTATACGCTTGAAAGGTAATAATGCTAGTATTGATGTATGATAATCACAATATTTTTATGTGGATGTTCTAAGTGTCTTGCGCTGATATATATTTATTTGCACATTTCCAGAATAAACGAATTTGCACTTTTGTATTCACCATGTTGTTTATAAAAATATGTTTAAACTTTAAATGTCATAAAACCTACAACGAGTTATAATTTTTCTTCTAATTGACATTTATTAATTGGCAGCGTCATTCAACCGCGTTGCCAACGGGAAGTGTAAAATATTTATTTGCTATTTTAACGGAAAGTAGAAAAGTGAAATTAAAATCATGCAAAAATTAATTGGTTGAGCTAGGAAAAGTTCGCTTCACTAGCTTAAGCTGTAGTTTTTGTCATTGTATTTAACAGACGTACTTATCTCTCTAAAATTAAAATAAATAATTATTAAATAATAATAAATAATAACGGGTATCGGTATTCCCCGATTTTATGGGGAGAGGAGCACACACTCACAATAGAAAGGCAAGGTAGTAGTGAGAATCGGGATTTTATGACCAATACGAATATGGATTTCACTTTCTGCCAATCTCCACGAATTCATAATTTTTAACTCTTCCTTAAAGAGATCAGCCTCTATAAACACTTATAAACAGTCAAACCATTAATTTGATGTAGACTTTTTGATGTAGACCTTTGAGCAAAACAAAAACTCCTTCAGAATCAGGAATGACCTCTCCGAGCCGTTCTATACCAAACGAGGTTTCAGACAGGGTGACTCTTTGTCGTGTGATTTCTTAAATTCGATGCTCGAGAGAATAATAAGAGCTGTGGAGCTGAATGGAGAAGGTGCAATCTTCTATGAGAGTGCATAGCTACTAGCGTACGCCGAAGATATTGACATTATGGGCCTCAACAACTGCGCCATTAGTTCTGCTTTCTCCAGCCTCGATAAAGAAGGGAATCAAATGGGTCTGGTAGTGAATGTAGCGAAACGAAAAATCTCCTGTCATTAAACAAACAATCATCGAATTCGCGGTTCGGCTCCCATTTCACTGCTGACAGTGACAACTTTGAAATCGTAGAAAATTTCGCCTACTTAGGAACCAGCATCAATACCAACAATAATGTCAGCCTACAAGGAAAAGTAAAGTCTTCTCTCGGCGAACAAAAACCAAACTCTACAAGGCGCTCATCATACGCGTCCTACTATATGGCGCAGAAGCGTCGACGATATCAATATCTGACGAGAGAAGGACTTTGCGAACGATTTATGATCTTTTGAGCATTGTCAGCTGTCGGAGCTGATGACATTGACATAGTTCAGCCAATGAAGTGATAACGAATCCTATGGCTAGATCATAACGACCAAATAGATGAAAGCACTCCAGCTTTGAAAGTATACGTTGTAGTACCAGCTGGTTGAAGCAGAAGAAGATTACGACCTCCACTCCCTTGTAAGGATCAGGTGGAGAGCAACCTCGTCTCACTGGTATTACCAACTGGCGCTAAACCTCCTAACGAAGATATAAATGGCGTACTATAATCGCTTAAGCGAAGCCAACGCCAATAAACAAGAAGAGGAGATATATAGATTATAAGAGATGTTAGTTGAAAGATTTTCTGGTTTGCCATTAATATTTAATATAAAAAATGTCATTCACCAAGAAAATAGTTATTTTATTCTGTTTATAGATACACTTTTTTTTTTAATTTACGCAAAATTTCTGTTGCGAAATTGCTTGCACTCAACGTTAAATTTTAACGGGTCTCATATCAATATACATACATATACTCAAAAGCACTTTCATTCGAAACCCGTTTGTATAAAATCACTTCTTTTTCACTAAACACTCTTAATTATATCATTTAAAGCTTAATTGCGCTTATGCTTTCAATGTAAACTCATGTGTACAATAATTAAGAAAAACTGTTCGATTTTTATCTTTAACGTCATTTGCATACATATCTTACAGGAAATCATCGTAACACATTCGGTGACGTTATCGAGCGAAAATCCTATCAGTGGCTTGGCGCTACCGTCGCCACGAGTCGTGACAACGATTTAATTGTGGTGAGTAGAAAGAAATTGAAAGCATGCAACAAAATAGTAAATAACAATAATAATAAAATATGTAAATAATAGATAAAATAAGCGAAAATAAACACAAATAAGTTATAGTTCGTAGTCGGTTACAGTTACTATTGTAATTCGCAGTGCCGCTCTTTATGTACGACCGCGTTGCCAACTAAAATGTAGGTTCCTTGGCGGTTATTATGAGAGCGATAGGCGAACATTTTCCGCGCAGTTAAATGTGATGGCTATGAAAATAAAATAACGAATTAAAGTAGAAAATATAATGAAATATTTAAAAATTAAAATGCAAAATGCGAAAGTAACTTTAAAATGCATTTAAATTGTGTGTAAATTAAAGCGACAATTCACAATTTATTTGCTTTTTTTTCTGTATGACTTTGCAAGAAAACCTTGTACGCCAGCGAAAATTGGGTTTACGACATTGACAAGTAAAGACGTAAGCTCAAGCAACAATAACAAAACCACAACAAGCTGAACGGTATTTACTTCGTTTTATCGCAATTAAGCAAGCAATGGAGCACTTTCATTTTCAATAACAATGCGGTGACTTAAATAGTTGGGCGGTAAAAAGCATTGGGCGGACGGCAGAAACAATATGTACATATATTGCTTAACACTGGCAGTAGCAGCGGCGTAAGCATTTTAAGCTGGATAAAGTAAAGATTAGTCATGCCAATGAACGACTTGCAGATACCGTAAACAAACCAAAGCAAACTAAATATGTACAAAAGTATCTACACACTCGAACATGCATGCATACAGACACGTACATAGGTATGTATGTAAAATCTCAGTCTGTAACCGCAGACCGTGTACCTGCACAACATAAAAACTGCTGAACTAGTTTCGACAAATTGTGGTCGCTGTGTGACATGTGTGTTAATGCATTTTTTACTGTTAAATTCACATATAAAAAATTCATTTGCATGTATGTATGTACATATATACAGCCAAACATAAATATAAACATGGATATGTTTCCCCATGACTTGCGTAGTTGTTAGCCATTATCATCGCTGTCAATAAACCAAAAACCATAGTTATGTACAGTTGTATGTTTGTCGGATATTGGCGACAGCTTAAACAAAGAAAAAATTGAAATCACGTCGAATAAGAAGTTGGCTGCGGTTGAATGGGAACAAGTGGGAGCTCCGACTTAAAGCCAATCAACCTGTAGCGAGTGGGTGGGCGAAAATATGTACATACATATGTATTTATTTATATTTTTAAGTATTAACGAAAAGTGAGCGTGAGTAGATCGCTGAAGCTATTTAGCGCGGGCGGGTGATATGATATGTTTATATGTATTTATTTTTTTTTTTTCAAAATTAACATATTTCTAGATTGCTTTTCATGTTTGTTTACATGTTACATTAGTAGACTTGGTGGGTGGGCGAGAGTTAGAAGTGAGTTGTTAACAGATATTGAAGAAATAAGTGCAATGAAAAATAGAAAGCAATAATTATTGTACACAAAGTAAAAATTTTTGACCAATAAAATTTGTAGAGATAAAAAATTATTAAAATGTAAAAATATAAAATAAAAATGCAAATAAAAAAAAAATAAAACAGAAAATAAAATAATAATTATTTAAATTTAATTAAATTAAATAAAGACCCACAAAATTCATAATATCCAAATAAACGAAATTAAATTAAGTAAAAGTAAAATATATATTATAAGCCAAATAAGAGTTAAATATAAGAATATGAAGTAAAGAAACTAAAACAAAGTAAAATTAGTTAAAATAACATATAGATTAAAATAAGATAAAATAACAATAGAACAAAATAAAACAATAAATGAAAAAAATTTAAAGTAAAAAAATAATAAAAAACACAATGAAATTAAATAATATAAAATAATAAAAATTAAATTAAATAAGATAAAATAAATTAAACAAAATAAAATAAAAAAAACTGAAGTACAATAAAAAAATAAAATAAATTAAATAACCCAAATTGAAATGTAATAAAACTTAATATAATGAAAAAATTAAAACAAAATAAAATAAAATGAATAAAATTAAAAAATAAAAAAAAAATAAAATAAAGCTAAGTAAAATATATTAATATGATAAAGTAAAAAAAAAAAATAAATAATAAAAATAAATTAAATTAAATAAAATAAAATAAAATAAAATAAAATAAAATAAAATAAAATAAATTACAATAAAATAAAATAAAGTAAAATAAAATAAAATAAAATATGGTAAAAGAGAATAAAATAAAATAAAGTAAAATAAAGTAAAATAAAACAAGATAAAATAAAATAAAATAAAATTAAATTTAATAAAGTCAAATTTAAAAAATATACTAAAATGAAAAAATAAAATATATTAAAGTAAAAACATACAAATGAAATTAGGAAAAAAAATTAAAAACTAAATTAAAATATTTTTTCAGAGTAAGACGTGTTAACTAAATCTTCTTTCCCCAATAATACACTATTCACCATAACTAAGTATACTCTATAGTTTCGATATCGTAATTTTCTTTTTAATATTTTGATCGAATTGATGTTTTCTAGTCTACAGATATTTTTCTCTGTGTATTTCAACTATCACAGCTTGAGCTATCATTGCCCAATCAACGCTCACTTACCACATATGAATGCCCCAATCGACTTATAGCAACTTGCAACATGAGTACGAGTATGCCGATATTCGATTACAAACAACCAATGTTCTGTTTACTTCTTTTGTATTTCAAATTTCTCAGTTTTCCCACTTACCATGCACACATACACACATATGTAGATATGTACATTTGATATTGTTTTTATTGGGTTTTCATTCATGCTGGTGTTTTTAAATTTTTTCTCATTTGCTTCACCGTAATCCTAATGCCCCCAAGCGTTTGGAAAAGCCACAAATTAAGGCACACAATTGACGTTTAGTAGATGCCTCGTGTCAGATTAAGGTGTGCCAAATGCCGCATTGATTTCTTGATTTCTTTACTCAACACACACACACACACACACAATCAATTTACGCTATGAAAGCTTAAACGCTTTTTAATTGTACAGTCATCAATGAGGGAGTTATTTATATGCGACCCAAGGAAAATTTATTGGCGCCTCAGAGTGAATTGACCTGCTTTAACCACGAACATTGTACGTACATATGTATGTATGTAGATGCATACGTGTTTGTCTATTAAATATTCTAGTTTTATTAGTTCTCTGTGTAATCACCAATTAACTTTGATTTTAATGGTATTTTTATCCGTCAGCCACCTTGGTAGTTCCGCACTATGTTAACGGTACTGCAAGAACTCTTGCCAATTCGCATTCATGGTTTCGTCTCACGCTATGAGTAAGAAGGAAGGAAGCAGCAACTTGCTGTGTCAGGTGATGATTGGGCTGACCTGACGCTCTGCATGTTCTTCATGCTACCGCTGCCTAATCATGAGCTTGTGCTTTTATGAGCCAAAGGCGTGTACCGATAAACCGTGGCCTTCAAAAATTTATTGACAGCGCGGAATCGTTTCAATTTCGTTTAGGTTTATGGGTTTGCAGTTATTTTCCAGCAATATGTGAGAGTGCCCCATATACCTATTTGCAGAAAGGGGATTCAAGTACACACACAAACATATATGTATCGTATATACTTATTGACTGCACACTGTTTGCTCATTTAGTTATTTTGATGACTCTAGGTCAGTTAAGTTGCAACATTTTAGCGGCAGGGTCAATAGGTCAATTTAATGACTTGAAAGCCAATGTGGTGATAATTCCTAGGTCTGGTGCGCCATAAACAATTTCATGGTTTTGCGATGGGTTGGAGGGGAAAAGGAAGTGGATCTCAAATACAGTAATTTGGTATTAAAACTACGAGTATAACTATTGGATTTATTGCGGTTTTTTCATAGGTTCGAGGTAGTTTGCATGAAAAATCTTCAAATCGACAAAATAAAAGCACAATTTTGAAAATTAAACCGAATCAAATTCGATAAAACAAAGCGAAAAAAATAAAGGAAAAAAACAAAAAAAGTTAAAAAAAAATATTTAAATAAAATTAAATTAATTAAAAAAAATTAAAACAAAATAATGAAAGAAAAATACATTAAAATTAAGTAAAATAAATTAAAACAAAATGAATTAATCAAATTAAATGAAATAAAAGCCAAATCGAAGAAAACAAAACCATAAAAAAAAATTAATAAAAAAATAAAATAAAATAAAATAAAATAAAATAAAATAAAATAAAATGAAATAAAATACAATAAAATAAATAATATAAAATAAAATAAAAAATAAAATAAATTAAAAAAAAACAAAATAACATAAAATGAACTAAAATGACTTTCGTAGTTGAATTTCGCCCATAAATATTAATCCATTGCCTTAGATATGTATATCGGCAATAATGGTGCTGGACTTTTTTCAACTTTAAGCCAATAACAGCATAGAAATTTTGTTTAAAAAAATGTGTTTTAATGAAACAAAGTCAATTTTCGTTGCATATTTCCTTCAAACTAATAATTTTATGTCATCCCTTTATTGTTACTTTTTAAAAATACTTTTTTATGCACATCTTCACGACCCTTCAAGGGTATCTTCAACAATTTAATATCCTCGTTCTTAATCCAACAATTTATTTTAAATACGCTCGATATGGTCCATTGTTCGATTGAATGGTCGAAAAATCACGATTTCCTTCTTCTCTTGACGTTTCGTTGTATTCAAGCGATTCAGAGACCTTCATTAAAGTGCGAGTAGTGAAAAAGGGTGATGAAATGTAAAAAAAAATAATACAAAGAAATGAATTTAAACGAAATCAACAATATTCTTCCTACTATTTACAACAATACAATCGCCAGCGCATCGACGTCGAATTATGCTGATTTTTTATTGCGATTGTCTCCGTTGTTATTGTTATTATTATTGTATTACGAGTTATATTACTATTATTTTATTGTTTTATTTGCTTACAAAGTATTGTTGTATTTTACTTTACTTTATCTGTCAAATACATATTTAATCCATTGGTCAAATCGGTACAATATATCTTCCACTCAATTCGCCTTACCATTTCTGGGCGTTTGGCTGGCTGATGAAAGGCCACGCTGCTGCTCTGTCGTGTATTTAAAAGCGCATGCGCCCATTTAAAGTGTACGGATGTAGATGAATTTGAGCTCATGCTCGTTCTTGAGGCGGCGGCAATGCGCTGCTATCCGCATTGTTATGAACTCGTAAGTCTTCATCTTTAGTACTGAGCATTTTGAAGGTACTGTGTATGGTTTTTTCATAACTGTTGGTTGGTAGGTTGGATGTTTTCTTCCTGACTTGCTGACAATAGCTAGCTGCCTACCGACATGTGTTCATATACACAAATAAATCTACTTTAGGGCCGTCCAAATTATTTCTGAAAACAATATTTCTACGCCCGCAATGAATACAATTATGAAACTAGAGAATTTATTTTCCTCAATTATTTTAATTATAAATTAAAAAACAAAGTTACTCAAATACTATATTGTATAATTTTGACAAAAGAAAAATTTTTTGAATGAAAGCGATATAAAATTATAAATTAATTTGGAATAAAGTCTAAAGTAAAGTAAAAATAATTTTTTTTTGAATAATGTATTCATTGGGATCTAGGAGTAAATTTTTCAAAAAAAAAAATTTAATACTTTTTTATTACCAAGAAAGACTTAATATCCATTTTCAAATGCTAGCATCTGAAATAAAAATAATATAATTTTAAATTTACATAAAATAATAAATCGATTTAATTTTTTGTAATAAATAAATAAATTCGTTACGACGCGTTCGAAGAGCAATGTTATAATGTTATCATAGGAAAATACTTCTAAATAACTTCCGCTAACTAAAAAAAATTCTATGACTTCAATTTCCAAAGCTCTCTTCCCATATCCTTTAAGGGCCATCCTAATGTATACATATGGTATTTACGTGTGTTTATGTGTGTGTATATGAATTAATGTTGGCACAATATGGTACATTTTAGTGCGGCATTTATGTATGTGCCCTGTGACTGCCTTAACCTTTTCATGCCACAAATGGTCAATATGACTTCGTGGGTATAAGAAAAAAGTTTAAGTTAAAAAGAAAAAAAAAACAGTACTGAAAGGATTTCACAAGCGCACTTTGTACTATCTTTTATGGTCTATTGTTATTTTTCTTATTCGTTTCATTTTTTTTTTTAATTTTTTCATTATTTAGATGATCCAGCTAAAGTGTGGTAGTGTCTTGCGAACAACTTATTTTCGTAACTTGATGGTGATATCCAACAAAAAAATCCATATATTATGTATACACATACTTATATATGAACATATATAAATATCTCTAAATATAAATATATTAAAAGCTTATCTCTCTGTGACGGCACAGTGTTTGGAAAAGAAAGAAATTCGCAGCAACATTTACTGTTTTATTGAAGAAAAAACTGTTGCATACATTTAGGCTTTCGCAAATAATTTACAGAAGAAAAAAGTTACTAGTCGAAATGACTAAGTGTGAAGAACCTGACAAGCTGGACATAAGGAGAAATGCTTGAAAATTTTCTCAGAAAATTAAGTGAAGTTTCAAGATCGGAGCATATTCATGCAGCAACCAATAAGGCGATTTACAAATCGGGTTTACGCAAGCAACACTAATCGAGCCTACCTGCTGAATTCTTCAAAAGCGGTGGCGAGAAAGTGATCAATGGCACCTATGCAGGAGTAGATCGTATGAACGATGATATGAACATGATATGCTCTGTCGAAAGCATAAGAAGAGAGTTTCCATAAATTGCGAAAATTAACTTAGGATATATAGGTTCTATCAACATCGCTAATATAGTTCTATCCATTTTTCGTTCAACGAACTGATCAGACCTTTTGACTATGGATTCAGATCAGACGGATCCACTAAAAAATCATACACTCATTTTGCTACAAATCTTGGAAAATATCCGTGTGAATTGATTTCAAAACTAACTTCGATCAAGGCGACAAAGCAGCCAAAGCAGCTGAAAAATTTATTTTAGTTTTAGGGCCCAATACTGTAAACGAACGTGTAGCACAAAAGTGGTTTGCTAGCTTCCGTTCCGGTAATTTCGATGTCAAAGAGGCACCACGCGTCGGGAGGCCTGTCGTCGAAAATGGCGATAAAATCATGGAAATAGTGGAAACAGACCGTCGTGTGAGCACTTATTTAATTGCTGAGGAGCTAAAGATAAGCCAAAAACCGCTTGGAACCATTCGCATAACCTTAGATTCAAAAAGAAGCTCGATGTTTGGGTGCCACTCGAACTAAGGCAAAAAACATGATGGACAGAATTTCCATCTGCGAATCGCTGCTGAATCACAACAAAATCGACCCGTTTCTGAAACGAATTGTGACTGGCGCGGAAAAATGGATCACTTACGACAACATCGAGCGCAAACGGTCGTGGTCAAAGTTCGGGGAAGCGGCCTAGACGGTGGTCTAGACCTTGTTGACGGCTAGGAAGGTTTTGCTGTGTCTTTGGTGGGATTGGCAAGGAATAATCTACTACAAGCTGTTCCTCTTTGGTCAAACACTCAATTCGGCCCTCTACTACCAACAACTGGACGGCTTGAAAGCAGCGTTTATCCAGAAGAGGCCATCTTTGATCAACATTGGCTGAATTGTGTTCTATCAGGACTACGCCAGGCCACACACGTCTTTGGTGACGCGCCAGAAGCTCCAGCAGATCGGGTGGAAGGTCCTAATGCACCCACCTTATAGTCTAGACTTGGCACCAAGTGATTACCATCTTTTCTTGTTCATGGCGAACGGGCTTAGTGGTGAGAAGTTGGCTTCAAGAGAGGCCTCCGAGTTTTTTGCCAATAGGGAGGCAGTATTCTACCAGATGAAAAATTAATCTAGATTGCTTCGTTTAGTTCTCGTACTCTGCGAGAATTTCCAAGACACTGTGGCCGCTGCCCGTCAACACTATTGTTCACCGATCAAAGTGCTCTCAGCGGACGACTGTTCTATTTCAGTTATTGTCGTTTTTCTCCAAACATTTCATATTCATTTTTTTATTCGTTTTTTTATTTTTTTTAATTTTTTTTAATTTTTTTTTAATTTTTTTTATATTTTTTTTTTTAACTGCAAATAAAAAATTCTGTTTGCGCTTTAATGCATTCAACGTGCGCGCACAACATGACGACAATGTACGCCGGCACTTTAGTGTCTAACAGACAACAGTAGGAGCAACAATAAATGGCAAAAAAAAAAATGAAAAAAAAAATAAATAAATAAATTCTCAAACAGCCAACTTCAAAGTGCACACACCACGTATATACATTTGTATGTATGAGCAGGAGGTGGAAGGCATGCCTTGGGTACACACATACATGCACACCTATGGAGTTAAGCATAGAATGTGAAAGAAAAAAGAATTGAGCTTTGCCAAATATTTTCAGACATGAAGTGCTTAAAATTCACTACAACAATAACAATGGGAGGCGATGCAATGCAGCACATAGACACCACCAACCGCCAACTGTCAAGGTAATAGCCTGAAGCCATGCTTACCAGAGCATAGCGCATCGCTTCATCAGTGCCCGTCCAGTGTTAAGTGAGTGGGTAAACAATAAAACCGCAAAAAGCTTCTCACGTGTGCGCGCTGCGGACAAGGCGGCAGCAGCGAAAAGGAGAAGCGCGCATTGAAACCCCAACCCTCGCTCTCGTCTCCGTCACCGTTGCTGGACGCAGCCGCAAGTGAGTGAATAGTCATCGGTACACGCAAGAGGTCGCAGCGGATTTTTGTTCATACACATGTGAATCTCTATTCCGCTCCTTCTATTCTTGTTTTTTGTTTTGTTGTTTTGCCCACTTTTCGGTCGCCCCATATAAGGTGCGTTGTGCGTATGCCTTTGCGCATTTCCAACTGTTTCTGTTTTTGGTATAAGTATTGTATAAATTTGTAAAAGTAATTGCACTCACCCAATATGCGCACGAGCAGACAAACGAAAATGCAATGCCATGCAGTGCAAACAAATTTCATGCTCAGGCGCAAAACAAATAGTGACGTTTTATTGGGAATCTATGGAGTTGTTAGACGAAGGAATTGTAAATGTTTAAATAAATATTTATTTCGGAAAAAAAGAAAAAAAATTATATAAAAAATTGCATGCATTTAATCGCTGACTGGACGTCTGCTCTGGGTGTGCGCAGCTCCAGCCCATACACCTGCCCTCGTATGCAATGCATAGACATACATATGTATGCATGTATGCACTCTTATTTATTTGTATAAATTTTAAGTTTACGCTAATTTATGTATGAAAATAAAATTTAATCTTCCAATCCAATTTTATTTCTTTTAAAATTTATAATCTTTTGCTTATGGTCTAACTTATTGTTCGCTTATTTATTTATAATATTTAATGTTTTTTGTAGGCCTGCGCTCCACGTTATGTCTTCCATACAATGACACCAAATAAATCATTGCGTTATGATCCAGTCGGTACGTGCTTTACATCCAGGAATTTGACGCATTTCAATGAAGTCTCGCCATGTCGCACAAGTGAGTATGCAAATATGAAGAAATTATTGTACATGTATATATGTATGCATTCATATTTTTACGATTTTTATGCGAAAATATTTCTTTGAATAAATTGGAGAGCTCGGCGACCCCTTGGCTTAACTCCAGAGTGATAAGTAAATATAGACAGTTCAGATCTTAATCTGAATAAAATTAATGGAAACGAAATCAATTGAAAGCGATAAGGATTTCGGCTCAAGAACAAAAAACAAATGCAATTTGACTGACCGAGCAAAATTGATTTCATTCTCTTATGTGCATTATGTCCTCTAATAAAGGGTGATTTTTTAGCTATTATCTTTTTGGCAACACTGGTTTAAACAGCTGACGCACGTTTCGTGTTTTGTTTCGCTGTCAAACAACTTCAGTTTGGTCTATAATTTAACCATAAATCGTCTTACAAACGAATAACCCTGGCAAGTTATTGAATGTGATTATCAAAATGTGTGATCTGTTAAGAAAGTAAAAAATAAATAAAAAATTGTGTTCAGCGCCGAAGCTCATTTTTGGCTTAATGGCTGCGTAAATAAGCAGATTTCTCGATTTCGGTGTAGTGATGATCAGCCAGAAGCATTGCAAGAGCTACCAAAGCATCCAGAAAAAGTCACAGTTTGTTGCTGTTTATTGGTTGGTGACATCATTGGACCGGACTTCTTCAAATTTGATGCGAATCGCTACGTAACAGCGAATGGTGGGCGCTACCGTGAGATGATATCCAACTTTTTTTTGCCCAAAATGCAAAAGCTTAACTTGCTACTCGGTGTAAAGTAGAACCTATTGGCAAGACTGTTTCTGCATTGGATTTCCATTCCATTCCATTGCTTTTGGTGTTAATGTTGGTTCCAAGGTAGCCGAAGTTATCTACAACTTCAATGTTATGACTGTCTACAGTGAGCTGCGATGCAAGACGTGAATAAATTTTTCATCTTGCCCTCATTCACAGCCATACTCATTTGCTTTGCTTCTTGTTTCCACTCGGGATATAGCAGAACTGAAGGCAATATCAATATTAAGGGTATACGGTAACTGGCATTTTTTTTTTGTCCAGCAATACCTGTCTGAAACCCATTCAGCATCGAATGACTCGAAGAATTTGATACTCAAATATTTTTGGAATATAATTTTTTTTACAAAAAATTTTGAATTTGCCGTCCGGAATAATAATAACTACTTGTTTTTGTTTTCTATATATAATATATCCGTAATTCTTTATAAAATTTAATTTCCTTTTTTTGTGAATACTCTATTATTTACTGCTTTTTATTTACTATAAATTTTTTTTATTTCCCATAAAATGTTTTTTTTATTTTATTCCTTTTTTTCTAATTTTTGATATATTTTTCATATTATTTGGTTTTCTTTTTTGATTCTATATTATTTTATTTTAGCTCATTTAGGTTTACCTTATTTCATATTTCTTAATTTGTTAATTTATTTTATTTTGTTTTAATTCATTTAATTTTATTTTAAATTTTTTAATTTTTATTTTTAGTTTTTTTAATAAGTTTTTTTAAAATCAATTTAATTTTTTCTATTTTAGTTTCTCTCACATTTATTTTATTTTATTTATTTTTTAGTATATTTTTAGTTATATTATACGCTTCATTCATTACGTTTCATATTAATTATTATTATTTAATTTATTTTGTTTAATTTTATTTTAGATCATTTATGTTTATTTAATTTAATTAAACTTTATTTTTTATATTTTTTTGGTATTTTAAGTTTTTTAAATTAATTTAGATTTTAATTTATTTTATTTTAATTTTATTTTAATTTTTTTATTTTATTCAGTTTTGATTAATTTATTTTATTTTATTTATTTTTTGAGAATTATTTTAGTTATTTTATATACTTCATTCATTTCATTTCATAAATATTATAATTTTTTAATTTATTTTTATTTTTTTTTTTGTGTAGTTTTATTCAATTTTATTCGGTTTTGTTTTATTTGATTATATTTGATTTTATTTTAGTTGTTTAAATTACATTTTTAAGTTTTACTAATTACTTTACGATTTACCATTTGTCATTTTATTACAAACAAATTGACTGCTAATTAGGAAAAACAGAGAGATAGGAAAATAAATTCCCTTCAATGCGCCTTTCAAGGCAAATTACTTAGTGAATACAACAATGTACTACAACTTTAACGAACTTTCTAACGAAATTTCAGTTCAGCTCCAAAGCCAAAATAAAAATAATTTAAAATTTAAGTATAAGAGATTTTATGGTTTCCTCAAATACCATGAATTGTAGAAATTATTAAGAAAGTGCATAAAATGTTAGATATATATTTCTACATACATACACGTATACTTGAGTTGCAGAAATTTTTAGATGAAAATATTTAATTTTTAATCAAGCTAAATGTGGTTTGAGGATCCATGACTGTCGAAATAAATATTAATATTATAACTTCCGGTTCTCATACTTTGTTTCATTATTTTAAATCAATTTGTTCATTGAATTTCTAAAAATAAATTTTGAACACATCCTCATTTCGGTATATTTATTACATACATATATAAGTAGTACATATACTCTACGTATTTTTCCCCTATGACAGCCAATTTCCTATAGCACTTGTAGGGTTAAATACCTCACTAAAAACGTATTTATTGTGTATATTTAAATAATCCCGTGATTTGAGTATTCCGGTAGCACCGTTATTTTTTTTCTTTTGTATTGAATGTGTATATATTTAGAATTTCGATATTTGACACCTAAAAAGTAAAAGTATTTGATTACACAATTTTTTTTTTCATGTATGTATGTCATTCGCTGTGAAATGTGTCGTTTTCTCTCCCTTAACGAAATTTGAAGGGATTCCCAATCAATTTGTGGGTGTCGCATTTACATATAGACAAGCTATTTGCGTATGCCAAAGTGTGCACCTTATCGTTGCTAACCAATAATTTTCGTGTTAATCGAGTGGCGAGCATGGAGGGAGAAAGGCTCACAAAGGTATCGAGTTGTCTTTCAAAAGTATCAATACCCGAGTTCATACTTGAGAGTTTTTAGGCACATTTATGAATTTCTTTTTGTGGTTTGTTGATACAGTTTGACGGATTAAATGTGTGGTTTTCGGTAAATTAAATTAATTTCATTTTTTTTTAATTATGTGGAAAAAACTGTTGGGACGATCATTCAACCGAAATTAGATAGCCTTTTCACTAATTATTAAAAAACAAGCGCAGAAAAGTATAATTTACAATATTTCTTAAACATATGATGCATGTGTGCATATAATTGTAAATATATTTCTTAAAAACCAAGCACACATAGTATTTTTAATCAATTTTCTTCACATAACCAGTAGAGCAGGAAGTGAAAAGAATGCAAGAAATTGGTAATAACAAATAAAACATTTATATAGTCCAGAATAGTTTTAAGTAAATAGAATTTTACAAAGTTACTATGAAATTACTTCTCAACCAATAAAAGGTAAATTCTGCACATATTCTATATTTCTTAACACTGCGCGAAAAAATGGGTAATTTTAAAGGATTATCTCCTCATCAGACTTCTTATGACAGGGATCGAACCATATAACATTTTATTTTATTTTAACTTACTATAGTTAATTTTTATTACATTTTTGGTTTTATTTTATTTCACTGTATTTAACTTAATCTAATTTTATTTTTTAAATATAATCATCTAAATTTTTTATTATTTTATGTTTTAGAATATTTTGTTTAAATTTATTATAATTTTTATATTTGTTTTATTTTGCTATATTTTTTTTAATTTTATTATTTTTATTTTTTGTTTCATTTTATATTAATTAAATTTTTTCAATATATTTAATTTAATTTAATTTTATTTCATTTTTATTTTCTATAAATTTCTTTTAATTTTAATATAATTTAATTATTTTTATGTTGCTTATTACTTATTAACTTTTTGTTTCTTTTTTTATTTTATTAAGTTTATTTAGTAAATTTCATTTCATTTTTTTGGTTTTATTTTTTCATTAATTGGATTTTAAATTATTATATTTTTTATTTATTTGTTTTATATTATTTATTAAAATTAAATTACTTGTTTTTATTTTACTATTTTTTTAAACGATTAAATTCTTTTTATATTATTTTGTTTTATGTCATTTATTAATTTTTTGGTTTCTTTTATTTTTATCATTAAATTTTATACTTTTATAGTTTATTTATTTAATTTTTCTAGTTCTTAAAGAGACTACTTTTGCTCTATAAATATTATTTCATTTTATTTCGCTTTATTTTGTTTTGTTGGTCTAATTAATTTTTTTATAATTTTGTTTATTTTATTTCATGTTATTTTTTATTTAATTAATTTTTTACATATATAATATTTAATATAATTTGGTTTTGTTTTATTTAATTTTTGAATTTTTATTGTTTGTTTTATTTTATTTTAGTTTAATTTTTTATATTATTTTGGATAATTGTACTTAATTTCATTATATATATGTTATATTTATTATTTTTTCTATAAATTTAATTTAATATTATTTCTTTAAAATAAATTAAATTTTTTTTATTGCTTATTATTTATTAATTTATTTGTTTGTTATTTTTTTTATTTAAAAAATTATTTTTAACTTTATTTTAAAAATTTCATTAATTTTTGTATAATTTTTTTTTTTTTAATTTTTTTTTTAATTTATTTTTTAATTTATTTTTTAATTTATTTTTTAATTTATTTTTTATTTGACTAGTTTTCTCTTTGTTTTTTTTTTGCATTCTATTTTTTGTATTATTTTGTTTTGTGTTATTTATTACATTTTTTTGTTTAAATTATACTAGTTATTTAATTTTACTCTGCTAATACTTAAAGAAAACCATTTTTCTTCATTTTATTTTATTTTGTTTCGCTTTATTTATTAGTTTGATTATATTTATTTTATGATATTATTTTATTTTATTTTGGGTTTAATTCATAATATTTTGCTGTCTACTATTTTTCTCTGTGCAAATAATTCATCTAAAATAATAAAAGGAAAGAACAAACACAACAAATTACACGCACCATAAACAGTATATCTGCACCAACATCAGCATCAACAAACACCACAGTGGAAGTGCAGAAAGACATCCCATGTCCCCGCTTTTGGCCGAGTGCGGTGGACATTCCGAAGTTTCTCAGGGCAATAAATACCAACTTAACGCACCAAATGCCGTACTAATAGTTACAAAGAATCTTTAAACTCAAGACTATGGCGAAAAGAACTTACACAAAAAATTTCCCAAACAACAACAATAACAATAACAACATTTAAAGAACGAAGTACAAGCTATGCCACAATAAAGCAACGGCGACAACAAATATTGCAACTTGAAATGTTGTTGGAGGGAAAGCAACAATAAAAAAGTGAAACAAAATGCTCGACAAAGCTAATTGAAATTCTACACGGGGGCGATTTTATTATGAGAATTACTTGAATTACCTTCTTGAATGGTAGAAAGTTGTATGTATTTACACATGTGTATGTGTGTGTGAATTGTATATGACTTAGGCCACAGTAAAATGGGATAGATATTCGGACGGCTTTATACCTCTCATGAAGGGAGGTAAATTTCGTATTCTTCATCTTCTTCGGCCTAATTGAGAGCTTACTCGACAGAAGCCCCCAAACCTCTTGAGCTGATCTTTCCAACGCAAATGTGGCCCTTCACTTTTTCAGCTTCAAACAGTGGGTACTGCATCCTTTCAAAGCATCATTACTTTTTTCTATTCAGTTGAAATCGCCTAGTCTGTGCAATTTCCTTGTGATATATATGTTTCTTAACTAGCTAAGTCCCATTATCTATGGTATTCGATATAGCTAATATAAGAATGTCTTCTCGTAAACTTCTTATGGCGGCTCATCGAATTTGCCAAGGAAGAACGCCCACAATGAGTGACTTGTTAAGTTTGAGCTTTGTTTGTCGACCGACGACTTGATGGGGCTTAAGGCAGATCTTAAGGTTGGTGTCGATCCTGGCCTGTAGAAACCTCAAAATTATGACTGTCTTCCTTCACTGCTGACTCTTTTCCTTTTCTGAAACAATGTGTGGGAAACAGAACAAGATCTGATGGACCTCTCTGAGGAGGTTTGTATCAAACGAGGCTAAAAGCAAAGCGACGCTATACCAAATATGTTGGGCAACTCGGTCTGCACTGCACTCAACTGGTCAGCTGTTTCGTATGGTGTCGAGTTGCTCACTGAGTGGGGGCAGTACCCACGCAATTCGGAAGAAGCTTTCGGTGTGTCAGTTTAGATAGGATTTACCAATTTTTTTTCTTTGTGAAAGGTATAAGAAATGTAATAGAAAAAAGAAATGTGTGTGTATGCCTGTCTTCCAGGCATTCAATGCTTTTACGTTCAGGTTACTACAGTCCACACCATGTACCACGTGCAGAAGCGTCCAACTGCGACGCATGTCGCCGACCGATGTACACAATTCAGCAGTGGAGAAAAAAGCACTAGCAAAAGTAGCAACAATAACAACAACGACGACAACTATAACTGAACAAAAATCAGTAGTCACCACAAACAAGCGCAGCGGCAGAAAACAAACAAAGTCAAGGCAAAGGAAAACCAGGAACAATAAAGTTGAGCAACAACGGAATGAGAGGGACGAAGGTGTAGCAGAAGGTCTGCTCCTTAAATAGGCACTCCTTGGCATAAACAACAAAAAAAAAAGTTGCGATTTTTTACTATACACACACACACTTGTACACATTCACACAACTATTTATGGCTTATGGAGCTTGCGCCATGCCTTTAGCTTCGCATTGGTTTGGTTAGGTAACGTTTAAATTGAAACACTTCGGCGACAAATTGTTATCGTTTAATTTGATCTTTCGCGCAGACGCGCACGCGGTGTGGCACAATGGCAGTGCATAAGGCGAACAAACAATTGCACACACTAAATTGGTGTGTTGAATAACGCAAAAAATGAGAAAAAATACAACAAACAACTCGTGCAACAATAAAAAGCAACAACGAGCGAAGTTGAAGTAAAGAACGAACGCACGATCATTGTCACTGCCGCTGGGATCTTGCCAATTCTTCTATTGTCGTTGGTGCGCTTTGTCTTTTGATTTGTTGCTAATGTTGTTGTAGTTGTTGTCATTGCAGCAGTTGTTTTATTTTTCTCGGTTTGTTGCTGCAAGTCGGTGCAGAGGTGTTGGCGAACCTTTGCTATGATGAAATGTTGCTGCTGCATTCACCTTCACCTTCAATGCCTTTGCCCTGCATCCATTGTTACTCACACGACTGTAATATCTATATTTGTAGTTGAAATGCCCTGTAGAAAATCTAATATAATTCAGAGCTGATTTTATATTTTACAATAAAAAAATCTTTCTAGTGATGTTTAGATTTAGAGATAAAAATTTCACAAATAATAAATAAAATAAAATAAAATAAAATAAAATAATATAAAATAAAATAAAATAAAATAAATTTAAATAAAATAAAATGAAATAAAATAAATCAAAAAAAGTTAAAATGATTAAAATAATATAAAATAAAAGACAGAATAAATTAAATAATAAATTGAAATTAAAGATTTTTAAGTTGTTTCGTTGATGTCTAATCCTTAAGTCTCTTCTACTCGGTATTTTAAGACTTTTTTCTGATCATTAATTTTTAAGAAAAGTTTTATATTGTGTATGTTCATTCGTCAAACATTTTATTCTTGGTACAGCGAAGTTTCAATGAAATTCCTATTTAATTTTAAGCGCTGCTTCATCCTACCGGGTATTGTGTCCTTATAGCGCCTTAAGTATTAGTAAACGTGCATTTTATTGACTATACCATTGCCTTTCATTGGTCTTTGCATGTCTGTCTGTCGGTTTGCATGTGTGTCTAAGTGTAGCTGTTTCTGTGGCTATGCCTGTGTCAAGTTGTCAGCAGCATTCAATTCCGTCAGGAATAATTATCCTTATTTGGTTATTAGGCATTTCAAGCAACTCTTTTATGCATTTCCTACGCTTTTGGTTCATGACAAATATTTTCGTGATTTTCAACATACACGCATTGCATGAATGTATGTGCATTTGTAAAAATGTTGGCAGATATGTGCAGGAATGTTATTAAATTGTATTCACCTAGGTTGAGATATTGGATAGCGGAGAATGTGAAATTTGTACCACAAAGCAATGTATTATAAATATTTATACTTAGATCTATTTGCACATATATACATAATATAATTTTTGAAGGAATCTCATTCTGTTCACAAAATTATTCAATTTATTTCAAATATTTTAGATAACTGGGGCTATCACAGGCAAGGTTCTTGCCAGGCTGGTTTTAGTGCGGCTGCTAGTACTGTAAGTAATCGCATTTAAATACAATACATATTTTAATTTATAATTTTAAATTATGCAGTTTTAAATTAAATATGAAATTTTTTACTGGAATTTAAATTCTAATAAATATTAGGTGTAATAAAAAGTAATCCATTATTTGTACAATAGATGGCATTATATATCTGTATCTCGCGTTGTATACATCCGATCGAGTTCCGCTAAATGGTGTTGGAAAATTGACATTTCGTACTAAAAAAGCTTTTCAGACACTTTTGTGATTGGCCGAATAAGTTCTGTCTGAGCTTGCGACAAAGATGGACACTAGCAAAGAGAAAATTTGCTATATTTAACAGTTTATCTTCGATAAGGGCGAAAACGCAAGTATGACGGCTGAAAATGTGAATAATGATCGTGCACAATTTCGGTTTCATTCGGGTAATTTTAGTGTAAAATATGCTTCACGGAGTTTAAGGCCAATAGTCGATAAAATCATGTACATTGATGACGCCAAGTAAGCAATCTTTCAATTGCTTCGTTTGGCACCATTTGAATAAGTCTAGATATGAAAAGTAAAATATTAAAACTTTAAATTTCAGGTAAAAATAATGGATTTCTTTTTAATACACCAATTGTTAATTTTAATTTTTAAATTATTATTTTTTTATTGCAAAGAATTTCAAGTTCTTGAAAATTATTGCTTTTTTAAGAAATTTTCTTCAAACACTTTTTTTATATTATAACAATGATAAAAATAATTTTTTTTTAATTACGTTAATTTAAAGGCTCCTTTTTATTTGATGTATAATAATTAATTTTCAAAACACTAATTTTGTATTGTAAAGCATCTCCAATTTTCTAAAATTACATTTTTTCGCTAAATAATAATCAATTTTTCATCAAATATAATTATAATCAATGGCTGTAATTTATTTGTAATTATTTTCCTTACATATTAAGTAAAAAAAAGATATTTCATAATTTTGGGTAATTTATCTATTTTTTTCCGCAAAGCTTGTGGCCTTTTTCTTCAAATTATTTTTCTGTAATTTTTACTATTAAGTCTACACTTTTTTGAAAAGAAAAAATTTAATTAATATTAAAAAAAATTCTTCCAATAACAATTTTAATATTTTTCTTCAACTTTTTATATTTTTTCTAGAATTTATTAAAAAAAATTTATTTACAAAATGAATCAAATTTCATTGTATTTTTGCGTAATAATTTTAAAAGTGCTTTGCATAAATTAAATATAATTCTTCTTAATAAGGTATCACTAAAATAATAAATAAATAACTAATTTCCTCCATCCTCAGCGTGGCGATCGTTTGTATATTGGCGCGCCCGGCAGTTGGTATTGGCAAGGTAAGAAGTTTGTTAAAAATATTTGTTAGAAAAAATTAATTTCTTTACATAAATTTGAAGTAGTTAGTTTCAGTATTGATATGTATTAAATGCAATTTAAGTAAATTTTATTCCTTATTATTTGTTTTAAGCATTAAATGTTCCTTTTATGCAATATTTAACATTATTTGGAATGCTCAATATTTGTTTATACGTAAAAATATTATTATTTTCTAATACATATTTATATGAATTTTATTATATATGTTTGAATTATTTGCTATATTTAAATGTTATCCATTGAAGGCGATTTAAGCTTTTAATAATTATACTTTTTTTTTATAAATATTTAACCTTAGAAAACCAACTCCCACAAAATTAAACCAGAAACAAAAACAATTCCAAGCATACCCACAAACGAAATTACAACTACTACGTACATACATACACATACATATGTATTTAGTGAAACACAAACGAACATACAAAGTATACGTAGTTTAAGTAAAACATAACGGTTTGTTTAAAACTTACCATAAATGGGCTCATACTTAAACATTTTTAAACAGTTCAGTTTTAGTTCTTACTTAGAAATACATATACACATACATAATTTTTTCCTTATATAATAATACATACAAATATACATAGATAATTGTATTTAGTGGGAATAAATTAATAATATTAAGTATTTATTGTGTATGCTTGTGACAACTAAACGCAACCAGGTATTTATTGTTGCCTACGTATTATCGTAAAATGTATGTATGTAAATGTATGCATTTATTTTTGTTTGTATGTATTCGTACGCCTCAAAAATGGCCATAGAACTGAAGCGCGCATGCGTCCGTTGACTAGTATCTATATTTTGTTTTTCCTCCAAAGTTTTCCTTTTGCCCATATTTGTATGTATGATATATACGAATAAATGTTATTTTCAGCATCACATCACGTAAGCGCATAATTTGTGGCATAAAACGCGATTATCGTGATCCTGCTGTATTAGTAATGCATGCCTATTTGTTGTTGTTGTTGGTGTTCTTGTGTTTTCTTTTTTATACATACTCTTATGTCGTCTGTTTTCGTACAACGAACGGAAGAAAATAACGCCAAAATAAATGCATAGATATGCACATATGTATATGAATTGTATGTAAAAATATATAAGAGAAAAGTTATTGGTATAAATAAAGAAAAAAAAAGTTGGAAAATATTATACACATAACCATAAAAGGGGAAAAAATAAATAATAAACTGAAAATGGATCGGAACTCTGAATCAATAAATTATTCAGATAACCGTTTTTCAAATGTTACAGACTTCGAAATACATACATATACGTACATATTTAAAACTGAAAGTTCAGATCTTTCTTGTTATATTAAATGGATCTAAATATAAGAAAACTATTTCATTATCAAAAATATATTGAAAGACTATTAATTTATTTTAATTTAAGAATTGATAAAATAGGCATTTTATTTACTGCAAATATTATATAATATATATATATATAAAATAACATAAAATAAAAGAAAATAACATAAAATAAAATAAAATAAAATAAAATAAAATAAAATAAAATAAAATAAAATAAAATATAATAAAATAAATTTAAGTGAAGTAGATTAAATAAAATAAAAAAAAAATAATAATAGTAATTTAAAAAATTAAAATAAAATAAACAAATATAAAACATTATAAAATAATAAAAAAATAGGTTAAAAAATATAAAACAGAGAAAAATGAAATCAAATTAAATAAACGTAATTTAAGTTTAAAATCTGAGAAATGTTAAAATAAAACATTAAAAATTTATAAGGATTAAGATAAATTGAATTTTAATCAAATAATTTTATGAAATTTATTTATAATAAATTGAAATTGAATTTAAATACGATAAAACTAAATAACCGTTAAATGAAAAACTAAAGTAAAAATCAATAATAAAAATTATAAAAATTTAAACAAAAAATGGAACGATTACCCTATTTCGTGAATGAAATAAAAAAATAAACAACAAGAAAGAAAAATATTAAAAGTAATAAAACAATCTGAACTAAAATAAAGAGTAATTTCAGATGAGCTAAAACAAAACTTAATAAATAAATAAAGGTAATTGGAAGGATAACGAAAATGAAAATAGGGCAGACCTTTAAAAGATAGAAGATTTGGGCAGTCCAAAAATTCAAGCTGAAAATAAAACGTCGTGAAAACGAGTACAAAATTAAGCGAAACTTGATGAAAACTAAGTGCAAGTTAGCTTAATTATTATATATAAATTATAAGAAAAGCTCGCGGGCTCCTTTTTTAATATAGTTTCAAAACAAAATGGCATCCTTCGTAATTTTATTATCTTAATATAATATATGAAATTATTTTCGGTATATAAATATCTATGCAATTAATAATAATAGCTATTAAGTTTTAGTTTAGTTTAAGACTTATCCGACAGTATTCGTGTATATATGTACATGGTTTTAAATATCCACCACTTATTTTAACTAAACACACTTTTGAAAAGACTCTCAATGTTGATTGTGTGTGTTTTTATAATCTTTAATATATAATTAATTCAGAAACAGAATATTTGCAAAGCGCAGCGATATAAGAAAAGTGTAGAAATAATAATTTAAGAAATAATGCAATTACTATAAGAAAAAAATAATTTTTTTTAATTTAAAATTAATTTTTATTTCTTTTTAAGTGAAAACCATACCTTTTATTTTGAAAAAAATAACTCCTTCACCTAAAAATCCCTGAGCTGTGCAAATATTTACTAATAAATATTTTATTATTAATTATATGTACTTTTTATCATACATTTTAATGTAATTTATTAACTTTTTTATTGCAATTATTTATTTTTCTTCTCGTTTACTGCTCCGTACTGCACCTTTCCTACAAAAACAAATGAAAATTAAACAACCAAAAATGCAAAAAAACAAAAATTATAATAATAATTCAACCAAATCCAATTAAAACTATGACTCTGTACTGTTATTGTGTTGCGAATTGTTGTTGTTTTGTTGTTGTGCTATTAAATATCAATGAACCACTCGACTAAATAACGAAAAAATAATAATAAATAAAAATATAAATAAAACTTGTTTGAATAAAATAATTAATTTGTTCACCCAAACGAATTTCGAAAACTAACAAAAATAAAAAAAAATAAAAATAAATGAAAAATAAAATTTCCAAAAAACATACAAAACCAAACAGGACAAGCCTACTCAATATCACCAGATGCAACCTTCCCATATAAGCCGCCATTTTACCAGCCCTTCGGCACTGGAGGTAAACAAATGAAAAAAAAAAAACAATACCAAAAAAATTCTCTAAATCTCATAATTGAAACACTAAAAAAGCAATTTGAAAGGAAAAAAAAATTACATTCTCTTACATAATAATACGAATAATACAGTTAGTTGGTTAACTAAATGGCATTTGCTTCTTCTAAATACTTTTTTAATGCTTTTTTCTTTGGAAATGCAAGTATTTTATTCATTCATGGAAACGCTTTAAAGCAACAGACTTGTATAAATGCGGTATAAATAAGTGTAAAAGGGTCTTTTTTGTATTTGCTAGTTTAAAAAAAAAAAAACAAAAATCTGCTGCGGCATGTTGCTCACTGCTTTTTATTGTTGTTCTTGTCATTGCTGTCACCGCTGTTGCTGCTAGTACAATACATATTTGCTGCAACTGCTTTATCGTCCGCCGTGTAAACACACATACTTTGCCCACATCCACATATATATACATACATACTCGTACCAACCCATCTGTACTTAGTAATTTGAACGCAAGGGTTCTGTGGCTCCATTTTTTATATCACTGTTGTTGGTTGTCGGTTGTCGATACTAATTCAAAATTCTAAATTTATCATTTCATAATTAATATAAAATACATACTTTTGGTTTAAGTGCTTCAAAATAAATTAATTATCATTTTTTAACACAAATTTTTTTAGTTTTATCAAAAAAAAAAAAAAAAAAAATAAAAAGACATCTCACTTTCGAAATTGGTGTCATTGTAATTTAAGAGTTAGCAGAACTTTTGTGTACAAGTCACCTCGCAGGCTAGCCTCGCACTCAAGGGAANTAGTTTAAAAAAAAAAAAACAAAAATCTGCTGCGGCATGTTGCTCACTGCTTTTTATTGTTGTTCTTGTCATTGCTGTCACCGCTGTTGCTGCTAGTACAATACATATTTGCTGCAACTGCTTTATCGTCCGCCGTGTAAACACACATACTTTGCCCACATCCACATATATATACATACATACTCGTACCAACCCATCTGTACTTAGTAATTTGAACGCAAGGGTTCTGTGGCTCCATTTTTTATATCACTGTTGTTGGTTGTCGGTTGTCGATACTAATTCAAAATTCTAAATTTATCATTTCATAATTAATATAAAATACATACTTTTGGTTTAAGTGCTTAAAAAAAAATAAAATAAAATAAAATAAAACAAAATAAAATAGATCAAAAAAAAAAAAAAAAAAAAAAAATAAAAAGACATCTCACTTTCGAAATTGGTGTCATTGTAATTTAAGAGTTAGCAGAACTTTTGTGTACAAGTCACCTCGCAGGCTAGCCTCGCACTCAAGGGAAGCAACCTTCATATGGGTCTCAGCATTAACACGATCATTTCCATATTGTTTTTTGTTCGAAAGCTTCACATTTGCTCAAGTCAAAGTCATCGCATCAATAAAATTTTTAGGGTATTTATTTAAATAAATTTATTTGTTTATTTCATCTACACCTACCCCTTGATGCGCCGAATTAATTTTAATACAAAAGGAAATATAATTCGTTTTGAGTTGTGCCATGAGAGATGCGATTTTTTTAATTTTCCATCCGAGAGAGTTTCTTCCACTTGACCGTAATATAGATAAATGGAAAGATCTTCATTATAGAGTTTCAACTTTATCCGTCTAAATCCAATAGATTTTCGTATTGCTCCTTCAAATTAAAAATAGTGCTTACGCAAGGTCTCGTCTTAAGCTTTTTTTTGAAAGTAAACTATTCGCGTAGGATCGAGCTCCAATTGATCAAATTCAGTATGAAAATACTCTGAAATCAGCAGCTATTATTTTATAATATTTTTAATTCATTTAGAATTTTTCTAGTTAGATATTTTTTAAAGTATGCACAAGTTAAATATAGAGGCGAAAATGTGGGGTTAAAATATTGCTCTCGGTTCCCAGAGAAATGCAGCTTGAGCTAATAAGATTTTAGAAATTTATGATTTTTCTATTTGTGTGATTTTCAAGAAGAAATAATAACTTTATGCTATGGCCAAGACTTTACATTTGTTATAATGTCTAGGGTTTGCCATTAAGTTTTAATAATGATTTCGAGCAAGTGCACGATCTTCGAGGCCATGCTATATGCTCACAGCGCGAGATAAGGGGCTCAACATTGGGCGCCGATTTGTTGGAACACACAATGATCCTCCAATAGAGCATACCCAACAGTAACGGCGTCTCAACAATGGCTTGTATTTAAGTGCCCATTTAACCCAAAGTGAGCTACATCGCTGAACGTAATGTTTTTTGAGAAAATTCTGATCAGTGGCCGTCTCGTTTAGGGTAGGCTCGAGCGACGCGCTTAATGATCGTTCGTCTTCAATTCTCGTACGTGTTGGTTTTTGTAAGCCAGAAAGGCGAGATTTATTCACAAAATCTCCCTAGAAGTTTATGACCACAGCTCCAATTGTTGCGCGTGATGGCAGATGAACTTATTCGGACTATACGGTGTCTCTGAGAATGAGCGTTATCCACTATAGTATGCATGGTGTGAAACGAATTACCGACTTCGCTGAGTGATTATATCGACCGAATATTTGACGCGGCGAAGGTATAGACATCATCGGTATCTTCAAACAGCCTTTTAGTTCTGGCTTCTCAGATTTGAAATGAAAGCAAGACGAATTGTTATGATGGTTAAAGAGTACAAGACGAAATATCTCCCACCATCAAGCAAACAGTCAACACCAATAACAATATCAGTCTTGTCATCTAACCCCTAATAACTCTACTGAGCGGGCAATTAAAAAGCAAACTTCTCTGGACGAACAAAAACCAAACGCTATGAATCACATAACATTCCCGTTCTCCTTTGGACGTGGAAGATGAGAGTTTCCGATTACTCGGCGTTAGAAGATTTCGACGGAAAGTTTTTTGAGTGATTTTTGGATCTTTGCGCGTTTTCTACGTCACCTTTCTGTGGAAGCAGAGGAAGAGAACGACGGTGTCGAAGTGTTCTCTTAATTTTAGGTCTGTATAAATAGAGCTCTTGAAATGATGAACAACATTAGAAAAATCACTGATAAGTAAAAAAAAATCCATCAAGGACCTAGGCAATTTTTGTGGTTTCGATCAACCCAGTAGAAAGAAAACCATTTGCGAAGAGGAGTGCTTAAAAGATGAGACGAATCTTCCAGTAAATTTGATTAAAGAACCAACTAATGAAACCGAATGAACAAATTAAAAATCTCGGTGATTGAAGATAACTTAGCAATCTCTCGGTGTATCAGACACAAGACCCACTAGTGCGCGAAATTCTCTTACTCTTAGTTCCAGGGCTGGAAATCTGAACCGACGGATTCAAAATTATTGAAGAAAGTAGTTTTCCCAATAGCAGTCACTCCTTGGCATGGAATGTTAAGCCCCCGAGTATATTTCTGAAAAGAAATAAAAAGACAATCATAAAAATCCACCGGCCGTTCGGAGACAGCTCAGAATAAACTATAGGTCACCCATTAGCTGGAAAAACACCAAGACGCATATTCAGAATAGGAAGAAGCCGAAGTACGTTTCTCATATCTATTAGACTTAAACAAAGATGGCAACAAAACCAAATTATGCATATTATTAATTATTTAATTTGCTTAGCATTGCGTACTGCCATTCGGAAAGCTCGGGTTCATATCCTGGTTTCGGACTAACATCCAAAAACTTATAGAAAATTAATTTAAATAAAAAATAAAGTTAAATTTTCTAATTGTGGTCGCCCCTCGGCAGGGAATGTCTACCCCTCCGAGTGTATTTCTGACATGAAAATCAAAAGCTCCTCATAAAAAACACCATTAGCCGTTCGGAGGCGGCTTAGTATAAACTGTAGGTCCCTCCATTTGTTGGAAAAATATCAAGACGCAAAACCACAAATTGGAGGAGGAGCTCGGTGGAAAATATATATAAACTAGTATATAAACTAGTTGAAATAATGGCTGTCAAATAGATAGCTGGGAAAAAATTTTAAACAAATTTTATTTATTTAAATTTTAAATATAAAAAAATTTAAATTTTCAACTCAATACAATAAATTTGTTTTTTTTTTTTTTTCAAAAAGGATAATCATGCATCCAAGGCTCACAACAAAAGTGACTGAGCGGCTAATGCAGCCGCTTTTAGTATCAGTTCATTATTAAAATGGATTTTAATTTAAGATTCTTTTATATTTATTTAAAATTATTTTTCCACGTCCGTTCAGTGTTTTTTTTTTTTGCTTTAAATTATTTATTTATCTCGCAGTGAGGACAATATTTGCCGTTATCAGTTAACATATGAATAACAGAGTTGCATGTGAACTTTTACAATTGGCTACCAATCATTTTGTTAGTGGTTGCCAGATAATTGTTAGAGCTCTTTAAAACTAATGAAATACTCGTAATCACTCAATTGACTGCCTGTGTGAACGGCATAAATATCTTCAATTTTTGACGATTTCGAAACTGAAAATGAGTTTTTTATGATAATTTTATGGCCTTAATTTAAAAAAGAATATACATAAAATGAAAAATATTGAAAGTATATCTCTGAAGACACCCTTTTCAAATTTACCAACAATATTTGATTAAGTCAGCGCAAAAAGAGTAGCAGTTTGAAGTGTTGATACGGAACTTATGAGCTTAGGAAAAGTTTATCTCTTATTTATTTTGCAATAATTTTAACTACTATTTTTTTGAAAAAACCTTTTTTAGGCTTTTCAAAGCCACTTTAAATAATTCATCGTCTTACTACCACTGCATTCATTGTCTTGTAACTATTTACATACTTATAAATATATTGTATCATTAAAATAGTTTAGCAAATTATCATATAATAATTTCATAAAAAAGTAATATTTACATATATTTTAATTTATAATTAATACGTTTTGGGAATTATGATTTAACGACTCTTTTTAACTACCATTTTTTGGCAAACGTTCGACTAACCGGCGTAGCAAACCCCTCATACGACATTTCAATTACATTTTATAACCGTAACTGTAATATTATACCGTAAAGTTTATTTCATCATTTTCATACGCAACTGAATGCTTCTACTAATCGCCTTAAAGATTTACATATACATAACTACTACATATATACGAAATAATCAATGATATTGTAAATAATTAAGTGATTTCCATAAGAGCAATAATGAAAATATACTAATAAACCGTTATTTAACAGGTCAAACCTACTCATACGATGTGACACGCCCCGAAAATCAAGTCTACTCCACCGCCGAGAGTAGCTCACAAGATGATGACTCCTATTTGGGTTACTCCATGGTGACGGGCGATTTCGATGGTGATCGTATTGAGGACATCGCCATTGGCATGCCACGCGGCGCAGGGTTGCTCGGCAAAATTGTCGTAAATCATTGGAATATGTCGAACATATTTAATTTCACTGGTCATCAAATTGGTGAATACTTTGGCTATGCGCTCGCTACCTGCGATGTGGATGGTAATGGTTTGGATGATCTGATCATCGGTGCGCCAATGTACAGCGAGCAAGGCAATGTGGAGGGCAAATACGATGTAGGACGTGTGTATATACTGTTGCAGAAAGAGAGCGTGAGTAGTTGTTTAACTGAAGAGAAAAGTAGTAAATAAAATTAATTAAATGCCATACTCCTTCTTCCCTCAAACAGGGCGAACGCTGGCCAATCGAACACATACGTGATGGCTACAACAGTAAAGGACGTTTCGGTTTGGCGCTAACCACACTTGGCGATATCAATCGTGATGGTTTTGGTGACTTCGCTGTGGGTGCGCCCTACGACGGGCCAGAAGGTCGTGGCGTTGTCTATATATTCCATGGTTCGGCTAATGGTCCACTGTTGAAACCGTCGCAAATAATTAAATCGGAGGATATTGTTGAGGGCGCGCCCTACCCACGCACATTTGGTTTCTCACTCTCCGGTGGCCTCGATATGGATGGCAATACATATCCGGATTTGGCGGTGGGCGCGTACGCATCCGATCAAGTATTCATCTTCAAGTCACGTCCCGTCGCTGCTGTGAATGCGATGACCTCCTTTGTTAATCAATCGAAATTGATCAGCTTGGATGATCGTCGTTGTCAGACGGTGCGTGATGGCAAACGTGTACCGTGTACTGAAATTATGACCTGCTGGAGTTATACGGGCGAATATTTGCCTGGTAGTTTAGAATTTGAAGTCTCCTGGGTATTGGACGCTAAAAAACCAAAGAAACCACGCATGTTTTTCCTGTTGGATGAGGGCAAAAATATACGTAATCTCTCGATCAGTTTACAATATGGCAAGACTTATTGCCGCAACGAGACTGTCTATCTAGTGGATAATGTGCAGGATAAGTTGACACCGCTGGAGGTGGAAATGCGTTATGACTTACGTAGCAGACGTGGTTTTGCACCAGTAATTAGACGCAGGCGTGATGCTCTCGAACCGGTTATTGACCAAAATCGTGAGATTATACTACGTGATGCCATCAACATACAAAAGAATTGTGGTCTGGACAATATTTGCGTGCCCGATCTGCAGCTCGACATTATGTAAGTATGAGAAGAGCCTAAGAAACTGCTACTTCTAGGTATAACTGGTAATGGTAGGAGCTCACACAGGACCAATAATCCTAATATATAGAGTGTAGGCAAAAAATGTTAAAACGTTCACTCCTTACCCCTGAGAATGCCCTCGCTCCTTCGTGGACGGAGACAAAACCCTTAAAGAAGTTAGACTTCTAAAATGAAAGAAATTTGAATTGTTTGTTAAGTCAATGGAGTTACTGGTTATACGCTCCGCTCGTAGCTGAGGTCGCTTGGGGTCGGCCGCCTTCTTGATATGCAACCAAAATAAACTAAAGAACTAGTCATGCGAGGACACTTAGTTAACGGCCTCTTATACTCGTTGACATCTCAGTCGCGTTAAGCTCTTTAATTTTCTCGGTCTTATCGAGATATTTTCCGTGGAGGAGCTCGAACTATTTACTGAAAAGGGCTGAAAGAGAGTTTTGAAGGGAATGTCTTGGCGTTCAGTTAACACAATAATGGATCGGACTGGTCAGTTAGACTTAATAACGTGAAGAACTCGGAAGAGGTTTCAATTCCTTAGTGGAAGGGAGAGAATAAAGTACCGTCAATTCGTTCATGCGGGAAGAGATCTCATATAATGTGATGATATGAAGTAGGATCTTTGTTCCGTTTTGTTAAGTCAAGACACAAGTAAAACTCTTATATATTCAGAAAACTCACCCAATGAGATGTATCATAGATTTGCGACAATCATTCTTATGCCAAAATTATCTTTTATATAGAATATCCCAAATTCCATTAAACTCTTACTAAAGTGGGCTTGTTTTTCCTCTTTTCTTCATTAGAACCGTCGATAAGTATTTGCATGGTTCTCATAAACCGTTAATCGTTGAAGTCACAATTACGAATCGCAATGAAGACGCTTTCGAGTCGGCCTTCTACATGCTGATGCCAAAGGATTTGGACTTTATTAAGATTGAGAATTTAGTCGAAAAAGGTGACACGCCCATAACATGCTCGGCGCCCTCAGAAAGCAACAACTACACTTTGAAATGTGATCTTGGTAACCCATTGCAGGGACAGAAATTCGTAAGTACACCTACGGAGCATTTAGTGCCGCTTAAGGCCGGTACGAATATATATATAATCTCATTGTCCACAGGCCAAATTCAATGTGATCATGTTGCCCTCACAAAGATTCGGCATGGCACCCAGCTATCACTTCTACATGGAAGCCAACTCCACTAATGCGGAAATAGATGGCAATCAGCGTGATAATGTTGTGATTAAGAATATCGACATTTGGGTGGAGACCGATTTGGTTATTGAAGGGTAAGTTGAAAGCTTAAATCTCTTTTTTTACGCAGTCTAAGACTTCCTCTTTGCTTTCTCTCCACAGCGCCTCGTTGCCTGACTTTCAACTCTACAAAGCCTCCGATTATTTGGCCGTCGAAAATGCTACCAAAGAGGAAGATTTGGGTCCACAAGTGGTGCATCTCTACAATATACGCAACAATGGCCCATCGTATATTGAGGAAGCCGTCATACTCATTCATTATCCCAACGAAACGGCCGGTGGTGACTTATTGATGTATATGTTGAATCAACCCGAGACGCACGGCAATATCGTATGTGATCCACATCTCGCTGTCAATCCGCTCAGATTGAAATTGGACAATAATCTGATGTATAAATCATATCTCAGAGAGCGCGGTGTGATTTTCTCAACCGAAACCAGCAGCAGTAGCAGTAGCAGCTCCGGCTCGCCGGTCTACATTGAAAAGGCAAATGGTAGCAGCGCTGCTGGCACAGCTGTAACGATAGGACGCGGCACTAAAGAGCTGTCGGCTGAAGAGAAAAAACGTTTGGAGTTGGAGGATGAGCAAGAGATACCGGGCGATGCATCGGCTACGCATATACAACGCGCACAAGAAGCTGCCGCCTCGAGCTCCCAAGCTGGCTTTGGAGCTGGTGCTGCTACCGGTTATGGCGCTACGGGCTATGGTGGTGGCGCTGGTGCTGGCAGCGGTGGCTCATACGAATGGTCTTCTTCGTCCTCATTATCAGGCGGTGGTGGTGCTGGCGCGCATGGACCCACAGTTATTGTACGCACCAAAAATACAACAACAAGTTATGATGCCAGCGGACGACCATACGTTGTCGAGAGCAGCACTGAATATTCGACCAACTTGGATCGCGCTGCACAATATTACGCACAACCGACACACAATCAGCAGCAACATCATCAACATCAACAACAGCAACAACATTCAGCCAACTATCAACAAGCCGGCGGGTTTGTAAGGTCCGATAACAGGCATGGTAACCATGAAGGCGCGCAGAGCACACGCGGACACATTCAAATGGCCGGTAGCGGCAGCCAACCCGAACAATCTATGTATGCCAACTATCAAGGCTCCTCGGGTGGTGCTTACCGTCCGAATCAACAGCAACAACATTTACAACATGGAGTCTATCAACCCTATGATGCGCGTCGTGGTTCAGTGGCTTCAACTTCCACGGGATACAATACCAACAACAATTATAATAATTTCGGTAGCGGCAGCGTGATTGGTGGCAGAAGCTTTGATAAGGTCAATCCCCAGGGTCAGGGCTTCCAAGCCGGTGTTTTAGATTTGGGCACAATGCATCGCGATAATGTCGACAATGAATTGCGTCAGCATGATGGACAATTTGGCGATAACGGTGGCTCCTCTTACAGCTACCAACAGCCGTACACACGGCGTGTACGTTCACCAGCTGGCAATAAGCCTTATTATGGCATGGAAAATGAAGATTACTATGACGAAGAGGCTGTGCAACAACAACCAAGCCACCATCAACACACGGCTCAACACCAAACATATGCGCGTAATGTTTATCCTGCACAAGGTCAACAACCTCATAGCGCCTCCTATCAACAGTCACAATCGTCGTCATCATCATCATCTTCCAGTGGCAACGCTGGCAGTTATCAAAAATCTGCTTCTTCTTCATCCACCTCCTCATCATCATCATCCTCCTCTTCCTCAAGCGCACAGTTACAACAGAATGACGCTGGCGCTGAGGCCGGCGAGCTAACACAAGTCGATTGGGTATCACCTTGTAAGGCAGCAACATGCCAGACGTTGCGTTGTGTAGCAAAAAATCTGGCTAAAGATGAAGGTGTTTGGGTAGCAATACGCATGCGTACTGTGGCGAAGACTATGGAGAAGCTCTCCGGTAATTTACCACTGACTGTGTCTACAATGGCTGCGGCGAATGTTACGCGTTTGCCTTATATTGGAGAGCCAAAAGTGCCAATTATAAAGACGCATGAGATCTTCTATAAAGCGGAGCCGGAACCCATACCTGTGCCAGATGTGGTGCCACTGTGGGTGGTGGTGCTGGCCGCATGCGCTGGTGCGTTGATTTTGCTGTTGTTGGTCTATTTGCTGTACAAGGTGAGTGACCTAATAATGTTAAGTTAAGCTACGTTATGTTATGTTTTTACGTTATGGTATTTATCTTTTATTATGTTAAGCTATGTTATGTTTTCATATTTATTTTATGTTATATTGTATTATGTACCGTTATTCTATGTTGCTATATGTTACGTTACGCTATGTTATCTAAGTTAGGAGTTGAATAGTTTATTTTGATTCAATTTATTATCATACCATGGTTTGTTTTGCTGTGTTGAAGTATGGTATATATTATTTTATGTTGAACTAAGTTGTGTTATACTATGTTATGTAAAGTTATGTAAGTTACATTATATATTGCCATATTACGTTTGGAAATTTATAAAGTTATGACATTAAGTTATGTTAAGTTAGGTTATGCTATGTTGTGTTAAATTATGTTATGGTAAGTTATGTTAAATCATATTATGTTATGTTAAGTTATGGTATGTTAAGTTATGTTACGTAATGTTAAGTTAAGTTACGTAATGTTAAGTTAAGTTACGTAATGTTCAGTTAAGTTATGCTGTGTTATCATAATACAATTTATTGTGCTTCAATTTAGCATCACAGCATGCTATGCTATGCTAAGTTATGGTCCTATGTTATGTTATTTCATTTTCTATTTTGACGTTTATGTTACGTTCTCTTAAGCTATGTTGTTTATTCCGTAAATAATATAATGTTATGTTATGTTACGATATGTTTTGTTATGCTATGCTATGCTATGTACACATAACGAATTTTATTTTATTTCAATTTTACATATTCAAAATTTTATTCCCATTTTCCAGTGTGGCTTCTTCAATCGCAATCGTCCAAGGGATCACTCCATGGAACGGCAACCATTGCGTAATGGTTACCATGGAGACGAGCATCTGTGAGCGCTAACGAGTCCAGCTTAAGGTTGGATACCCCACCAAATCTCCATTTGTAACCGAAGAAAACGCTTTTTTTCTACTTTTTAACGACATGCTAGGGGCAGTTTTGCATAGAGCTTCATTGTTGTTGTGCACCTGATGTAAAAAGTAGTATATCGCAAGGTTGCTGCAAAGCGCGGCATTTTGCGGTCCAAACAACGGTGCTTTCAGATAATCATCAGCGTACATTTACATCAACTAATCAAAACGAAGCTGAAAGAAACCAAATTTGTTGGCTTCCAAATCAAAATCTACGAAAATTTTCTTATAACAATCTCTTCTTCTTCTTCCTGCTCCTTTTTTTATAAAAATAATTTTTATTATTTTCATATAATTTATAATTAAACTAAAATACTATAACTTTGCTAGTCACGAAATTCATTATTGCAAGCTCTCTCACCGCCGGCGAAGTGAAGGAATCTACAGCGCCAGAGAGAAAGAGAGAGATATAGGGAGGGAGAGAGCGCGCCATAACGACAAAAATGTGCTCTTACCATTTTTATCGGAGATTATAATTTTAAATTTGTAAAAAATAAATAATTAAATTTAAACATTTTACTAATTTATAATAACTGAAAAAAGCGATATACTGTTAAATAATATCGAGCCACTCTAATGTTGCCTTGTATATGATAAAAATAAAAATTTAAATAAAAATTAAAAAATAGTTATTGTTATGAAAGCGAAAAGTGCTAATATTAATTTTACTAATGTTAAATATAAATAATAAAAACTTTAATAAGTGTGTGTTTGTGCGCGTGTTTGTGCTTGTGTGTATGTCTAAATGTTTATAGTAGTGTTTTAAATAGAGTATGTCTAATTTAAATGCACAATAATAAATTTCAATAAAAAATCAAATAAATTACAGCGACGAAAATACGAAAGAAATACGAACTTCAGTTGAATTGAATTAATTAATTACTTTAATAAATAATTTTCTAATGTCTACTAATCACTTTCGTTATTTGTAAATATATATACAAAGAGAAATTATAACAAAAAAAAAAAAAAAATAAATAAATATTTTTATTGGTTTTAATTTAAAAGCACTGCCTTTAATGTGAAATAAAACAATAAAATTAAAAAAAATACAATTCAAGCGTATCCCATAAAAAGTAATAATTATAAACAAACAAAAAATAATTATTTATTTTTGTAAACAAATTAAGAATTTAACTCAACTAGTTGACTCTACAATAAGAATGTCTATTAAAATAATTAAAAAAATATATGATTTTGTGTAACATTTTCGAAATGATTATTTTTTCATTTAATTTATTTTAATTTCCTTCTGTATGTTTTATATGTATGCTGATTTAATTAATTTATTAACTGTACTTATCAACTGCAGATAAATTTATAATAATTTTAAGTTTAATGGAAATAAAATGTATGTTTATTTTTTTTATAGATTAAAATGAAAAATCAATAAACAATAATTCAGTGTAATTTTGTTTTTTTTTTATTAAAGTTTGGTGAGAGAGCACCAGAGAGCTCTCTTCCACGCTCTTAAACTAACAAATTCAACTGATCATCCCTCGGAGTATAGTTCTGAAATGAATGCTCATAATCTATTATTTTTGCATTACATAAAAGACTTAATTTACCGTAAAGAGAATTATATAATTAATGTGAAATAAGCACCATCTTGAAGGTATGACTCTCTCATTGGCGAAATATTGGCTGCATTCAGTGAACTGAGCGCTGAGTAAACATGTTCAGTGAGCGATTTTACTGAGCGATTAATTTTCATGAACACAATACTTCAACTGCCGAAACTAATTGTGAAGTGGCACAGTTTCTTCATAAAAATATTTGGTTCTTTAAAAGTTTAAATGACACTCTTTGAAAAACTGTTTATCTAGTGCATATGACGCAACTAAATCTATATTTATCTACTGAGCGCTAACCAATCATTGTGTTCAAGGTCCGCTCACTGAACATGTGTACAGAGCGTTCAGTTCGCTGAACGCACATATTGGGAAAATCGATTTTCATAGGCTTTTCTTGAGACAAACTCTTCGCCAACCAAATTATTCGCCTTAGACAGAGATATATGATGATCATTTGGTGCGAGGACTGGACTATAGGGTGGATGCCTAAGAGCCTCCCAACGAAGCTCTCAGAGCTTCTGGCGAGTCACTGCAAGAAACACAATTCCCCTCCTGCTGGGCTCTTCCGGGTGATTGCTTCCTTCAGACGGTCCAATATCTGGCAGTTAAGATCGGAATTAAAAGTGTGGACATAGAGGATCAGCTCATAGTGGCTGATTCCTTGTTAATCCCACCAAGCATACAGCAGAATCTTCCTGGCGGTCAATACTGGTTTGCGCACCGTTCGTGCCGGCTTACCGCGCTACGAACACGACTCTTTTCACTTGGCGTTGCTGTAAGTGACCCGCTTTTCATCGTCAGTCACCAGCCGCTTCAGAAATGTGTCAATTTTTTTACGATTGCCCAGCTCTTCGCTGATGGAAATTCGGTTCATGGCGATATTTCACGTTGATTTATATGGTAGTTTTTTTTGCATCCAGCCTTTTTCCAGTGGTTTCAAGCTTGTTTTGTACAATGTTTAGTTCCTGGGCAATCCAAACAAAGCTCGCTTGGCGGTCGTCGAAATTCCCATTATTTTATTGACATTTTCGAAAATTGCCGTTCCACAACCTGGAGAATCTTTTACATTAAAAATCTCGGAACGAACCGTAAACCCTTTTCACACCTTCAGCTTTCTGTGTTGCATTTCCATTTTATCAAAAGAAAATTTGTAGAATTTGGCCTATTTTTCCTTTTCTGGTATCCGTTTTTGGCATCCGTTCAAGATTATCTTTTCCAGACCAAAACTGACAGAAAAATATATTCATATCAACATTCCAAGTTTGGTATACTTTTATCTATGACCAGTTAACCGACAGTAATTTTTGCGTAATCCCAGACTTTTTCGGCGAACTAAATTTTCCCAGTAGTGGTACAGGCTTACACAGATTTTGGGGCGTATTTTTCTATCTAAAAACGATACTCCAAGTATACGGTATACAACCATCAAGGTCAAGGTCGATGATCCTCAGTTTCTGTACAATGATTCGCTTTGTAGGCTGGATCTTGCGACTATTGTGCCGAATATGCCTTTCTTATCTACATATCATCGTTTTGAAATCGGCAAAATCTAAGCTATTTTTTAAATATTTTTATACATATATTTCAGTCCTAATATGTTAGGGAACCTCGGGTTGATATGTATTGGCACTTTTCTACCACAAACATCAAATTTGGACTTCTGGGCTTTGTGGTAGAAATTTCAAACAACTTCACCTCACAGTGGTCTTTAATTCTTTTGAAAAAATTAAATAGCTGAGCAAAGAAACCTTTATAATTGATGGGCGAGATATATATCGGTGTGTCATGGTCGTTATTAAAAGCAGGACTTTCCACTGCAAAGCTCTCCGAACTGATACAGCGGCTAACAACTGGCAAAAGAAACGGGCTGTTTTAACGGTTTTGGAAAAATGGTAAACGAATTTTAGACTTCTTGGTTATATTTATAGGCAAAGATGATGTTTATGTTGGAATTCGTTGAATGCTGGAGATATGTAGCTATATATGTATATTCTGATGTTAGACTGCAGTGTGGATAAGTAAGAGTTTGGTCTGCTATAACATTCGGACTACAATAGTTTAGGATTTAGGTTGTGGATGAGTCCCAATAACATGATATGCTTCACATGAATTGTTGTTGCACGTTGTTGTTGTTGTTGTTGTAACCGCAAAATTATTCCCCAAAGTACCTTTTGGGGAATGTTGCGGGAGTGACAGTCCTTGGCCGGAAAAAAATCCGGGTCGTTGCGATGTAAAGACCCGACTATCGCGGGAACTATTGGATTTTAGTCGCCTCTTATGACAGGTATGCCTTACCGCGGGTAAATTCTTGAGCCCCTAACCCGCAGGGGCACTACACGTCACGCTCAGCGACTCTGTTAGGAATAACTGTCTCTCCCTGAAAGTGATGCACACGTGGCATCGCCCTCTTACGGCTCTCAAAGAGGCATTTAGACAAGTCTATAGTTTTGCTGCAGGACTTAACGTCTAACCTCCAGTTAGATGACCTTGATGTTTCAGTGGAGTTAGATAGCCGCTACAACAAAAACAACAATAACAACTACAGCAATAACAACAACAACAACAACAACAACAACAAAATTTACTAAAGTGAATTTCTGGACGCTTAATAAATTTTAGGAACTTCAATATCTTTCATTAATATTATCATCTTCTATAACTTTACACATGAGTGTATATGCATCCATATATATAAAATGTACTAAGAAAAATGTCGAAAAAGTACAACACAGCCAAATGTTTGTTTACATAAAAACAATGTTGTTTATCGTATAAATGTTTAATACATTTGTTGTTATTAGCAACACATTTACACACAAATTTGTTAGAATCATTTGTTGACAAATGCCACCCTCCCTCCACTCTGCCGTCCAAACCACCAGTTACACACATTGGGGCCCCAACACCGACCGGCAAATGCAAATCCACAAAAGTTGTCACTTTCCGGTCTCACCAGCGCTCACGAGCTGGTGCTCTCACATCCTCTTCATATTGCAGAGAAACGACCAAATATTTTGCATATTCACACTTATCATGCCATACAATACGGCGCAAATACGTTCCACAGAGACCCAAATGGGCTTATCAACTACTCGCGCTCACATGCAGTGAGCACTCAAGCTAGAGCTGAATGTGCCCCACTGGCGCGCTACGCAAGCAGCTTCGACAGCTGCAGCGCCAACAAATATTAGTTTTCTTACGGAGCTCGCCAAGGGCGGTTGGTAGTTGTTGGAGTGAAAGAGCTAAAGAGCGAAAGAAAGATAGAAAAAAAAACGCTTGCAAAAGTGCGCGACGCTGAAATAGTATTGCAAAAGCAAGCGGAGTGCTGGAAAAAAGACTAAGAAATACATACATACGTGTATGTAGTGATATGTACAAGTGTATCTACATACATGCATATGTTGTAAATTGAAATTATTTTGTTGCTTGTAGTTTGTGTAAACGCTACTTGCTTGTGCGCAACTAAATTGTGTTGCATAAAGTTTTTATAGCTGCAGAAAACAACGGTAATAATTGCATGCTGCCATAGCTTTTAAATCTAATTATTGGAAAATACCTGTGCGCTACATATGTACATACATATGTACATAAGTTTTTGATGCAATATTTTTGCTTTTATTACGTTTTGTAACGCTTTTAAGTGAGTGCCTTCATTTAAGTGTGTAATAATGTACGTATGTATGGCCAGCAAATAATTTTATTAGTGAAAATTTGTTGTGCTGAAAAAAAATTACTTCAACGTCAATTTATCCCTGTAAATTTGCCTGGGCACACAAAGTTAGACGTTTTAGTAGCAGCTGTTGGGGCTGCTGCTGCCACTGTGTCTGTGACTGTGTATCTGCTGCTGTCATCTCCTCCATATGTACATATGCAGCAGCTGTAAATCGATTATTCGCTCGTGTTGCGAAACTTCAGCTTTACTTAATACCTTTATGATAAATAAATTGAAAAGTTTCTAATAAAGAAATATATTTAACTTTTTTCTTAAAAATATAGTGTATTTGTAAAAGAAGTTGAGCAAAAGAAAAGAAGAAATTAACGCTCCGTTAATTCGTAGATATGCTTTATAGTATTATGAGTAGGTTTATTGTGTTGAGAGCTGAGTCTCAGCTGTGCGAACGCGCGCAATTAAGGTAACCAGGTGAGCGAACTTATATTCTGGTTTGAAAGGCAGAAATTGATACATGAAAGCTGTAAGAAAACCTACGCTGTAAAATCGTATTAAAATGCATTGAGCGAA